ACACCTATACTGTAGGGTATTGAAAATGTTTTCTTTGTTAACCGAAGAAAACATTCTCAATACCCTGCAGTATAGGTGTAGCCAACTTACCTCTGAGGCAGAACTCTTAACACGAACAGTTTTGAGGGCGGGCTAGCCTCTAAGTGGCCTGCAGGGTTTCTCAATACCCTGCAGTATAGGTGTAGCTAACTTACCTCTGAGGCATATACTGTAGGGTATTGAAGATGTTTTCTTTGTTAACCGAAGAAAACATTCTCAATACCCTACAGGCCACTTAGAGGCTAGCCCGCCCTCAAAACTGTTCGTGTTAAGAGTTCTGCCTCAGAGGTAAGTTGGCTACACCTATACTGCAGGGTATTGAGAATGTTTTCTTCGGTTAACAAAGAAAACATTTTCAATACCCTACAGTATAGGTGTAGCTAACGAAGTATTACCTCTGAGGCAGAACTCTTAACACGAACAGTTTTGAGGGCGGGCTAGCCAGTATATGCCTCAGAGGTAACCTCAGAGGTATCTCCCCTCCATGGTCAGAAGGGAAGAGTCAGCCTTCTGATGGTGCAGGGCAGTTTGTATCATATGGCGTCATTGCTACTTGTCCTGGTATCCTCCGGATGCCAATTTACTATTATACACTACTGTTTTTGTGATTGCATTCTTAATAAGTGAGTCCTTGCTGTCTCTCAAGGCGTTGAACTCCAGCTGGAAGTGTCTCCTGTTATTTGAGACAGGGATCCCACAGTGTAGTCCCAGATTCAGAATATCATTCATTCTTCTGTGGTAGTCTGCCAATATTAGTCTTCACTCTTCCAGCATCTGAGCGAGTTATTACAGTACTAATTATGTCACAATCTGGGCAAGACTTCATTTAATCAGTCTTCCATCAGTAGATTCCATTCATATATCCAAATTTGATCGCGGGACAATTTTTTCGGAAACTTCATTTAATCAGTCTTCCATCAGTAGATTCCATTCATATATCCAAATTTGATCGCGGGACAATTTTTTCAGAATCATTTCATATAAGTTAAATTGAGTCTTGATCCGAACGAGCTGGTTGAAAATTTTCCTTGCTCACCATGGACCAACAAATGAGTCAATCAATCAAGCTGAGAGCAGCTCTGACCACAAGGATCAAGGAAATTATGGGAAAATCATCAGCAACAGGGATCTTCAGAGGGGGGATATTGCAAACTCACCTTCTACACAAAGCAAGGTGAGAGGTTATATTTAGGGCCTTATTTGATCCGCTCTATTAAATGGTCTCACTTAAGATTAAGAATTGGACATGAGCTAGACAGTTGCTTAGCAACACGTGATGTCAACTTCCATGCTTCTGCGTCAATCTCAGAATATGAGATCAATCGAGCTGCACTGACAGTTGCCCATGCAATGGTAAATCCTTGTGAGTTGTTTCACTCTGCAAGATATCACCTGGTTTTAAATTCACATCATTTGCAGATTATGTGGATTGGGATGTTGACAGATTTGCCGAAATGGCCAAAGTCTCTACACCTAAATCTGATGGTCCCCTCGCTAATACCAATCAGCTACCAAAGTACTTTTCTGCAGCTATGATCGGTAAAATTTCAGCACCAGCTACTATTGTGGACAGGCAAGGTAAAATTTTAACAATTTACTTGCCAAATATTCTGTCTTCTTCTCGGGTTGTATGTTCATTCTTCCTTGGGAATTCCCCTCATCAATTGATAAATTAAATTAGGAATATGTGAACTCAGCCACTAAGGGTTTACGGACTTTACTTCTTGAAACAATTACGTCCTCCACCCAACAGTCTTGGCGATCTCAAGGCTTTGTTGTCCCAGAGGGGGTGGAGAATTTGGAGCAGGCAGAGTCACAGTATCACCAGCATATTTTATGCAAAGACACGAGGTATAGGCCAAATTTAGTGGCTGTTTAGCTACTTTTGACTTTGTTTGATTTCATTTGCAGAGACTGGAAGACCCAATGGTTACCTCGGCTTCCTATAAGTCTGTGGAAGTCCAAGAGTGGCTAGCTGCTTTATCAGCTACTGAATCTTTCTGGAATGCCATTACCGCTGTATCGGCTCCAGATCTATTCGAAGCAGGCACCTTGGCAATCACTCGTATTATTGAGGAACTTCAAGGTTCTGATAGAACATCACCACCCATCTGTGATTGGCCCTCGATCTTCTCAGGATTGGAAATAATTGCAAATCGTACAACTTTATCACACAGAGATTCTGGTGGCGCACCTTCTCTTTTTGATCTTCTGATTAGTTTAGGCAGTGGCCATGAGGCTAAGTTGACATTAGCAGATGTTGGGGCCGAACTGGATTATTACCCTGGGACAATGGTCTTCATTTCCGGGAAGGTTTTACAACATTCTATTGGTCCATGGGGTCCGGGAGAAAGGCTCGTTATTGCCCATTTTATGAGGGATAAAATCCACTCTAGATGTGGGGTATCCAGACCCCCCTTTCCAACACAGGCCTATTTTTTGCAGATGGTGGGGCAGCAGGATAGTTATTTGTTGTGACAAGTAGATGATAAGAAAGGAGTGGTTCTTGGAGGAGGAGGGGTGGAATGGGACAAATCAAGTGTTTGACAGTATACCTACTAGATTAGTTGATGTGATCTAGTGATTCCTATGAATGGTTTCAACTATCAAAAATAGAATGTTGATAATATCAATTTTTCCCCCACACGTAACCCTATGTCTCCCAAGAAAAAAACTCGACTCAAGGCAGCTACATTTTCCTTCCAAGGAAGAGGTCGTTTGTCTAAAGGCAAGGACCTTGATGTTGCCTATGTGTCTCATAAACAAGTCATTGGAAAGAGAAGGAAGCCAACCTGGGTGGAATCATGCGCTGATAGCCTTTATGACACTGCCCCAACACCATCTCCATCCTCCAGCCCTCGTAAACGTATTAGAGAAGACACTCAAGGGTTGCAAAACAGTCATGAAGATTTTGATAGACAAACCCTTGGTGACTTTGTTTCCTATGTAGAGAACTCACAAAGAAAAACCAAGGCAAGCATAGTGATTCAGTGTCTTTTAATGATGTACTAAATAGAGATTATTACGACCAGACACAAAATGACTTCATCCAAGAATATCTGCCTTTCCGAGACTTGTACTTGGATATTCTCCTTGACTTGGAGAAACCCTCCGATGTATCCCAGTGCCAGTCTTGTCAGATTGGTGAAGGGAAATTCCGCTGTTTGACTTGCAGTGGAGATCAGACATTCTGTCGTTCTTGCATTGTCAATGCTCACCAGTTTTTGCCCTTCCACAAGGTTCAAGAGTGGACTGGGAAATGCTTCAACGACACATCACTTGAAGAATTGGGTTTTATCTGGTATATGGGCCATGGGGGACAACCATGTCCATTTTCTGACGACATGCATGCATGGGAGAATATTCCCATGGACGCAGAGGCCAATTTTTCACCAATGGAGACAGTTCATGGTTCAACTATACCAACCAAGTTGACCATTGTACATTCCACTGGAGTGTTTTTGCACAACGTTGTCTGGTGCAGCTGTCCTGGGGTCGATTGTCAGCAGCATTTGCAATTGCTGAAAGCTAAATTATTTCCAGCCAGTACCACTCGACCACAGACTGCCTTTACTTTTGATGTCCTCAATCATTTTCTAATTGATGCACTGGAGTGCAAGACTTCAGCATCCAGCTTCTTTGAAAAAATCCGTCGAATGACCAATAACTGTTTCCCAGATACTGTTCCTGTAAGTCTTATAAGTCTTCTTGGTGAAAGTTAAACTAACAGTACCAATTTGTTTTTCTAGAATCGATATCGAGAACTTATGAGAGTGTCTCGACTGTGGAGAGACTTGATGAGTCGAAAATGGTTTGGCTTTGCCCATAATGATGAGCAGAAACCGGACAAGGGTGATCTGGCTTGGTTTTGCCCTGCTTGTCCACAGCCTGGGATTAACCTACCTCCTGACTGGCAAGCCAGATATGAAAGGCAAGTCATTTATCCATCTCATTCTAAGGAGAGGCGACTCAATTTCTCTACCACACTTGAGAATATCATACTCACTGGCTAGCCCTACACTGCATAGTGTACGAGAGCTCCGGCCGGACTGACTTATGTTCTAATCAAGCTGGCCAGCATGGCATAGACTGGATGTAAAACCAGGCCGGCCGGCACATTAAATTGGCTTGCTAGCTTGACACAGATAGCATGCATAACCATGCTGGCCGGTTAAACTGAGGTGCATAGATGTCACTCAAAGACATGCCAGCCAGAGAGTTGGTCCGGAGAGAGACTTCTACTTTTCTTTTTTGCACATTTTTAACCTTATGCTTACCTGTTTGTACAGTTGGCTTGTTTCACAAAGATATGTGGTAGACGGGAACTTCACTGCTCAACATATGGTAATGAGAAAACCACAGTTGGACATTAGTTTGTCAGACGGGCTTGGGTATATGGTGAAAGATCAAGAATACCAGACTCATCTGTCATCGGCTGTAGAAAGTAAAGAGGTGAGTTGGCTCATGACAACCACTTTTCGTTCATGCTTCACTATCTTTGTAGCGGTCTTCTTGCAGCAATCATCGTGCAGTAAATGCAGCCAATATCAGCAGGAGCAATCTTCGAGCTACAGGTGTAGGAGCAACTGCTTGTGCTCGACATGGATGCTTTGTTCCTCATAGTATAGTTGATTTTCAGAAGGGCGAAAGGTCTGTGTATGTCCTCCAAATCAACATGTTATGCAAGCTCAGGTAATTTTTAGACACATGAATATCGACTACTCAATATGCAATGCATTGAATTATCATTCAGCTGGTATAGACTCTTCCCTCATCATTTATGATGTGGGGTGTCAGTGGAGCATTAATTTTCTACAGAGAGTAGCCCAGAGCAAGGGCTTGTCTGTACCTGAAAATATGCACATCGTTCCAGCAGTTGGAAAATTCCATCTTAGCGCTCACAAATTAGCTTGCTTTGCAAGGTACAGCCTCAACTTTATTCAAGGGGCTGGACATGTTGATGGGGAGATTTTGGAGACTCTGTGGGCACCATTCAATAAGATCTCCCCAACTGCTCGGTCAATGAGTCAGGCTCACCGTCAAGAAGTTCTTGATGATCATATGCGAGACTCAAACTGGAAAAAAATAGTGGGAATAAGTAAGCCCTCCAAATTTTGCATTTGAACAAGCTTGACAATTGAGCTTCCAGTGAAGACTCTCTTGAAAAAGTACAAACGGGCTCTCAAAGGTGTTGATGACACAAAGTCTCCCTTTGACGAGCTCACTCTGTCTCTGGACCCTGAGAAGATTTCGATATGGAAGATCGATGAGAAAAAGGCCATGGAACAACGTGGAGAGTATCTTGACATCTATCAGTTGCAGATGAACAAAGGTAAGTGAACTCTGTCTAGTTGTGAGGCTGCTATTCTTGTATAGACATCTGATCAGTATTTGTATCTAGCTCCAACTATGGCAGAGATTAGACTCAAATTAACTGAGTCTGAGAATACCGACACTAGCAAACCTGGGACAGTCTCTTGGCTCATTACTGGCATCAATCTGGAGGATTTACAGTATGTAACCAATAAAAATAGAGAAACCGTTTGACATAGTACTATTTTAGGGATGGACTAAGGGCAGATATTCGACAACTTCCTACTGATGCAACCCCAGGACAGAAAGTTTCTATAGAAGAGAAGCGACAGAGATTGACAGCTAGGATAGCTAAATTTCATGAAACAGCTGATGCCATGACTGCTGGTATGGATCTTGGAACTGCAACAGTGCATTCCGACGATCCTAGATTCTGCTATGCAGGTCATGATGAAAATGGTTGGGGAGAGGTCTCAGATGAAGAGATCTCAGAGTATATTGACGAAGAAATCTTGGCTGAAGAGATGGGTATCTGGATGCCATCATCAGTGCCCTACCAGGATGCATTGGCTCTCGGACTGGGTCCCCTCCAAGCTGAAGAATTAGAACTTCGAAAGGGCCAAGCCAATGACTGCCTCGAAAAGCTTCGAATGGCCCTTGGTCATAAGGCCATCATCTATCGTCAGTATTTTCGAAGTGCTAATTCTACATGGGCTGGGACTAGGTCAAAGCAAGAAGCTCAACGCTGTCAGCTCAAAATTGACAAGTGTGTAAGAAGCTATCAGAGGGCAAGGTCAGCAATGGAAGGTCTAGGCATGGACAAAGCCACCTTGGGGAGTCTTTATCAGCCAATATCGCCTACAGAGCTCAGTATAGACAAAGAGGTGACAGAAGAAAATAGATTTGGACAAGGGTCAGACAGGCTGGCTTGGTTTTGGAGGGGAAATAATGCAAGCCAAGGTCAAGACGATGCCTGGATAGATGAATGTAAGAAAAAATCTTTATCTCTATGATATGTCACTAAAGCTCCAACCGATCTAGTCTACAGGGTGAACTGGTTGAAGGCTAAGGCTAGATGGAATAGATGGCAAGAGGAATTAAGGCTGGTAAGACATGAAATGGGTTGGACCATAAACTGGTTCAAGTACCACCAGAATGAATGGGAGAGAAGGGGTGGCCAAGCCACCAGACCTGGTCATCAAGCCTATGCTTATCAGCAGGTCTTGATGTGGGGAAGATTTGTTGAGGAGGCAGAGAAAAATTTCAATGGATGTCAATTTATACTTTGATCTGGTATACTGTCTTTGCTAGGAAAAATATGACAGGATAATTCTCAATGCTAATGAATGACAAGGTAGCTTAGCTAGCACTAGCTCCACTCTATGTAGTCCACAGCTGGCCGAGATAATTGTATTTAAGATATGGACTGGCCAGATGGTTCCTACAGCATGTATGTACATGGCTGGCCCTTATAAGAGTATATAACTAGCTTATATCTACCCTATGCAGTCCATGTAATTCTGATACCAATAACTGGTTAGCCTTGATTCTACAATAGACAGAATCAAGTCGGCCGGTATGAAATGTTGAAACCAATAACCAGCCAGTCTTGATCATACATGTCGTAGGAACTATCTGACCAGTATACAAATCTGAAACCAATGACTGATCAGCCTTGATTCTACTATTGTACAATTAAACCGAGCAATATTAAAACTAATAACTGGCCAGTCTTGATTCTACATGTTGTAGAATTAAACCGGCCGGGATGCAATGTTGGAATTGAAAACCAGCCAGTCTTGATTCTACTGTTGTAAAATCAAACCGGCCGGAATGCAATGTTGTGATTGAAAACCGGCCAGTCTTGATTCTACTATTGTACAATTAAACCGGCCGGGATGCAATGTTGTGATTGAAAACCGGCCAGTCTTGATTCTACATGTTGTAGAATTAAACCGGCCGGGATGCAATGTTGTGATTGAAAACCGGCCAGTCTTGATTCTACTATTGTACAATTAAACCGGCCAGGATGCAATATTAAAACTGATGACTGGCCAGTCTTGATTCTACATGTTGTACAAGCTATCTGGCCAGTATGAAATTCTGTAACTAATGACTAGTATAGAAATTACAAAACAATAATTAGCTAGTCTTGATTCTACTATTGTACAATTAAACCGAGCAATATTAAAACTAATAACTGGCCAGTCTTGATTCTACATGTTGTAGAATTAAACCGGCCAGGATGCAATGTTGGAACTGATAACTGGCCAGCCTTGTTTCTACTATTGTACAATTAAACCGAGCAATATTAAAACTAATAACTGGCCAGTCTTGATTCTACATGTTGTAGAATTAAACCGGCCAGGATGCAATGTTGGAACTGATAACTGGCCAGCCTTGATTCTACTGGTGTAAAATTAAACCGGCCAGGATGCAATGTTGGAACTGATAACTGGCCAGCCTTGATTCTACTGGTGTAAAATTAAACCGGCCAGGATGCAATGTTGGAACTGATAACTGGCCAGCCTTGTTTCTACTGGTGTAAAATCAAACCGGCCAGGATGCAATGTTGGAACTGATAACTGGCCAGCCTTGTTTCTACTGGTGTAAAATCAAACTGGCCAGGATGCAATATTAAAACTGATAACTGGCCAGTATGACATTCTGTAACTAATGACTAGTACTCGTATAGAAATCCCAAACCAATAATTAGCCAGGCTTGATTCTTCTATAGGATTAAACCGGCCAGCTTTAATTCTACGGTTGTAGAATTAAACTGGCCAGGATGCAATGTTGGAACTGATAACTGGCCAGTCTTGATTCTACATGTTGTACAGGCTATCTGGCCAGTATGCAACTTAATAACAAGTGACTGGCTGACTTGATTTTACAACATGTAGAACCAAGACTGGCCAGTTATCAGTTTCAACATTGTGTCCTGGCCAGTTTGATTCTTGATTCTACAACAGTGGAGTCAAGGCTGGTCAGTCATTGGTTACAGAATTGCATACTGGCAAGCTTGATTCTACCTGCAGTGAAATCAGGCCAGCCAACTAGCTAGCTGAATTCTATATCTTGCAGGCATAAAGCTAGCCACTACCACTGATGGTAATCATTTATATATATATTAACACTAAACACTAATTCTACATACTCCGGCCAGCTGTATTATACATTTTGTAGGCATAAGGCTAGTTATTGTGTTTACAGTAATTCTAATATGTATATATCTACACCAGTCAACACTGATTCCACATACTCCGGCCAGCTGGAGTTTGCATACTCCGGCCAGTGACTGGCTGGCCATGATTCTACAGACTTTTGGCACATCCGGAGCCAGGGTTCTACATGGAAAGTGACTGAAGGGTCTGAAACAAGAGGGAGTGGTACAGATGAGGCTGAGTTCCGGAACGGCCTTTAAATTTCAACCCATTGCTTGCAGAGCTGTGTTCATTTTTTGACTGCGCAAATGACGAAGGTAGCGCCGCGGGCTTTAAATTTAGACAATTGGCCGCACCGAACACATGGAGCCGCCTCTTTCGTATTAGTATGTTTGGTGCGCGAATTCAAACCCTTGTATTATTAATTCATTGTGCCCAATATCGTGTGCATCTTCAGCATCCTGCCTTAAAACGCTGAGATTTTCTCTGGACTTTTGTTTGCAAACCACCGCAACTGTTTTGTATTTATAACAACTAGGGCCCCTACACATCCTACAACCTTCAAAGCGCCTTCGAACTTCGAACTTCGACCTTTGTTTCCGTTTCTCCATCGACAGCGATTCTCAAGCCTTAATTCATTGCCGTAATTTGGTGTTGCCACGGGTATCTATATCATACTAGCTTTCATGTATTTAACACAGGATGGCACTGATCTGTGCCAACGCAGGATGGACCTACATGGGAACGACGGGTCTTACTCTTACAGGATAAGTGTTTGCTGAAACACGATGCCATCGGGATGAGCCTGTACAATCAGAAATTAGGCTTCTGGTGCGTCACTTATCGTCTCCCTTGTGAAATTTTCAGCATATATCTGGCAGTAAAATACATCACCATGACATCAAGCGCATGATGCATTGAACATAGTAAGCTTTGCATCGGATTTGCTCTATGAGTACCATCGCTCCGTTTATCATTATGATATGATCATGATAGCCGAATGATTCGAGCGTACCAGGCGACGGATGAGGTGAGATATATTCGACCCACTCTGTCACGGTTGATTGTCTGATTTCCGCAAGCCCTTGTTCTATAAGAGTAATCGGGGGGCTATTACGCCTCAGGCTCAGCCAGCGATGCCGAAGAGTGTGTAATACTCGTTTCACGTATATCAATCACACTTCGACCTGTGTTAGATCGATGACTACATGATTTCATAGGGAACTCTTCAATTTTTCCAAGCTCGCAGCAAACACACGCGAAAACCGTGTTGGAAATAAGTTGTCGACATCACGTCCGACTGGAACTTTCCTGGTGTTCAAGTATTCCCGTACGTAATAGTGATTTGGAAATCAAAATCTACTTTGATTACCGGCTTTTTGTTTGATTTCGCACCCTTTCAGATTTTGCGTTTCACCCGACCAAGGGTCTTGAAGCAGGATCAAATATTCTCCACTATCCTGATTTTGGCGATAGTAGTGCAGAACGGTGGTATATCTAGCACGAACGCTATCGTCATACACCACTGACATTCCCCACTCGCTCACCCCTCGAACATGACTTACGTCTCAAATATCACTTCCGTCTCAAATGATCCCAGTGACTGGCCATATATCAGTTCAGAATTTTTTTTCAGCTATTGGACAGGTTCGTCGTATTAGGATGTCCAGATCTAACGTTGACATGCAGTTTCGCAGTGGCTACTGGCGTCGTGGTGATATACGATTGGGGTGAGCAGGACAGTATTCTACAATCGCTGATATTCTCATGATATTTCCAGTCTTAACACTCGGACAAGAGGTACGTCAATGTTATCGCCGGAGCAGTCAACTCGCTGATAATGGTGTCATAGATTGAACTCATATGGGTGAGTGACGAAAGCAACATAAAAAAAAGAGACTGTTCTGCAATTTCATGATGGTCATTTGAATTCTGGAGAAACCAACCTAGGTTCATCGATGCGGTTTGTGGCTGTGCTACGACGTAAGTTGAATCATTCAAGCTTCAAGCGCTGAACTTTCTTTCATTCTTGCGCGTTATCCAATATCCCACTCATGAGTGATTGGGCGATGCAAAGGTACTTCTGTGGAGAAAAGGGGTGACGAAAGGCAACTCGGAAATGGGAGCTCGTAAGTAATAATCAATGTCACGATGTTCCTGCATACTAATATTGATCCAGTACAACTAAAGTACATTTAGATGTCCTTATAGCTCACCCACCACTGAGGCGGTTGGCAGAACAATGTCGTCATCATGTCCATTTGCGCTTGTGTAGGCCGTGCTTGGAAGCTGATGGGATCGTCTGAACAAACGGAGAGGACCACCACCACCTCTTCTGCATCGTACTCGACTTCAAATTCATCGTCTGCGTATCCAATCGCCGAGGTTTCGTTTTCATAATCGTGGCTTGTATAGCCCTCATCTTCATCGTCCTTGATATTTTCATTATGGCCCCTGATAACGGCCTCGTATTCATCAGTCTTGCTGTCGTCGTCCTTTTCGTCTTCGTAGCGACTTGCATTGCCCTTATCTTCATCAGTCTTTGGATCGTCTTCTTTTTCGTCTTCAAAGTGAGTTGGATCGCCCTCGCCTTCATCTGTCTTTGGGTCGTCCTCCTTTTCATCTTCGAAGTGAAATGTATCGGCTTCTTCGTCAGTCTTTGTATCGTCGTCCTTTTCGTCTTCATAGTGAATTGTATCGGCTTCTTCGTCAGTCTTTAGGTTGCCTTTTTCGTCTTCATAGAGACTTGACTCTTGTTCATCAGCATTCGTTTTGTCTTCCTTTGTGTCTTCGTGGTCAGTTGGACCGCCCTCATCTTCATCAGTCTTTGTATCGTCCTCGTTGTCAGCTAACCCTTCTACCTCCCCCTCCGAGTCTTCATCTGCAGAATCCTCAGGCTCCAAGACTAGGTCGACACAACACTTGTAATCCAACTGACGAAGGCGCAACTCCTTTATAAGCCAATTACGAGTCAACGACGCGCACGCGGGATCATGAAAATTGGCGGGATTGATGAACTTCTTGATCTCGTTCTCGAAGGCAAGAATGAAGTCTTGGGTTATGCAATAACCGTAATGATGTTCGCGGTTTCCTCTAGGAGGGCACTCGATATCAATTTGAGTCTCCTGGGTGGATGAGGAAATCTGCAGTATTGAGGTGAGGTTTAGTATATTATATAACGTTGAAGAATAATATTGTAGGTTCGAACCTGGAACTTGAGGCTTTGGACGAATTCTTTGAAATAGAACGACAATTGCTCGAATGACAACGACATTGTGCGTGAAATGATTGGGATGATGATCGAGTGCTCTAACTGAATTTCAGCCAACTCGTAATATATGATTCCCTTTCATCCACTGTGGCCTTTCGGACTCTTTCCCCTTTGTTCGGCGGTCATTTATCTCACATGGTTGCACAGGTGGCTCAGGTTGGTCAATGTTAGATTGGGTGTGAAAGTTTTGAAATCACGATTGCTTCTTCAGAGGCCAGAGCGCTGTGCAATGCTTTCAGGGAACCGTTGTTCTTTTCGGTGGCGTGGACACCAGCCGCCCAGGCTGGCGCGGTGCTTCACGACCTGCGAGAACGTTCTGAATGCACTTCTATGACTTGCAAAGGTGCAACCAAGAATATAAGTTGATCACGAGCATCGCATGAACACCTTCCGTAAAAATTCAGAGATTTGGCCGGTTGTTGGGTCAGTCTTGGACGTTTTTCCTGCTAGGCTAAACCTTATTCCAGCCTTGAGTCGTACTTACTGCCTTAGTAGGCAATCGACTTTCAACCTAAAAATTCTAAACGGCACGCTATTTTCAAATCGGTCTCACGAAAGAGCAACTTTGATTCAGTGTTACACAGAAGGCGAACTTGAGGCTACGAAGGACAAATCAAGCAAGGTGGGATGTCGCGTATTATGCGAGTGAAACAAAACTTTCAAGTTTGTGCGAGACGTGAATTATGTACTAATATTCTACTAAGCTAGTCGTAAGAATTGCGCATGCGTGAAAGAAGTGAAGCCGATCTCACCATGCACCACTAGTGTTAGGCTTTACATTGTAGGCCTTTTTGGAATCAGCTTGACGATTCGGTCCCGCTTGACAACATGCACATCCTTGCCAAAATAGCGGGCGGAATTAGATTGCCAGTGAAGGGGACCGACCATACAGTTTTGCATCCCTTCTACATAGATAGCCACCTGCTTGTCAACCTCTTCTCCCCATGAGGGGAGGTTAGCACGGCTAGATTCAAAGTGCTGGATGGCATTTTTGCACATCTGGCCAGCGTAATCGATGGCGCCTTGCAGGTCTAGTCCTCGTTCGTGCATGAGCACGGCAACCATATTATGCCAATGTACGTCACCACGAGATTGCTCCATGTTGTATGAGAAAATATCCTATCAGCAGTAATGTCAGCAACACCGCAGCGTTTAACGAAAGAAGAGAATTACATTGGACCAAATAGTATGATCGTTGGTCGCGTCCTGCAAGGCCATGACAACTGGATGCGACACAACTTCGTCCGGAAGATCAATTTGAGCTACGAATTCGATGAGGGGAAACCCGATCTTCACTGCGCTGAGATTTTGCCTCAGTGCGACGTAAGATTCCAGATCATACATATTTCCTTTGGTACGGTCGTCCACCTGCTTAGCCACAGCAGCGAAGAACAATTCGCTTGCGTGAATAAACCGTTCTGTACAGCCGGGGCCGGCAGTCTCCCTAAGGCGGCTGAAAAACCTAGCCGCGTAATGCCTTTAGAAAGAGTGTTATGCGACGAAAAAAACAGTCATACGATTTGCACATCTTTGCACCAAGCTGTTCCGTGTCAAAATTGATGGGATCGCGCAGTGCAAAAATACAGGATTCGCGCGTTCTTTGTAGATCGACGGCATTGTACTCCATCCAGTCGTCCATAATGAACAACCAGTTCAAGAAGTCAGAGCAGACTTGGAGATGGAAAGCATCTGCATTAGGATAGCAAACGGCAGCTAATGCGCCTGTGTCCATATCGATATGAGCATGCCCTCTGATCTCGGGCTCTGCAAGTCGCATCATGTCAAAAAGCCATTGATCAGATGCACGGGACACCGCATAACAGTGAGGGTTTTGTCGCAAGGGATAGTGGCAATGACTGATGAGGTCAGGTAAAATAAATAAATTGTGAGGGCTCGCAGTCAGGAGTGGTAGGGGTGATCGAATTCATAATGTGAACGTCGAGATGAGGAACATATCATAGTGCAAGATCGTTAGTCTTTATAGTGAAATTTTAGTTCCAGGGGATGTCTGTCTTGCTCAAATCGGAAGAGAATAATGACTATTTTTGCAACCATAATTCGGTAGACCGATGACTGCATCGGACAACAGGGTCGAATGCCACTTTTTCAGGTGTAACTTGAATGATTCGTGATCCATATCGGCAAGCTGTAAGCCCGGGGCTTACCTGAGTTCCCATTGTAACAGTGTGTTACATATGAGATTGCAGTACGTGTTTTTCAAAACTTGGCCTCGCTACAGGAACCGGCACTTTTACACCTATTAATATTAGGTCAAGGGATGTGACATACTTATCACTCTGGCCATAGCCTGCTGCTTGATGAAACGAAACCTCAGCCAGTTCGTTATGGGGCCATTCACTAGCCAGGAAATGCGCCAGAACACCGTATTATTGCAGTTTGAACAGCACAGGACAGCTCTTGAAATATCTCAGCTTGCTCAATGCTCGGAGAGGACAGCATAGTACAAGATGTCACATCCCTTGACCTAATTAATAGGGCGTAAAAGTGTCAGTTCCTGTAATTATCAGAGCTGATAAGGTTTTCGAGGTCTTTTTGCATTAGAGCATATTTGCAACGACAAGTTAGCAACTGTGGAACCTGCCTGTAACCTGCAAATAGTGTTGGAATCTGGAATTTTCACTTGCATATGCCGTATATTGACGTACATTTAAGCATTGAAGTTCAGAGACTCTATCAGCATCAACAACAGCACTGGATGCTGCTGCTAGTGTTACAGGCTGTAGGGCTGGGGGTGGTCGAGTAGTAGTAGAGGGAGAACTAGCAGCAATGTCCTGAAGTTGTCCATTGACTTTCGTTGATGCGTACAATTCTCGCTATGCACATGCCGAGATAGTTCCGGCAAAGTCCATTGTATGGAGATAATCCAAACAGATGATATATTTGGAATTTTGGTGTGACAGACGACGATGACCTCTCCGCTTTCATCACCGCTTGTTATCAATTGCCCATCTCGTGATACCGCCAATCTCGACACCCGATGGCGATGCCCCTCCATCTTCTTCAACGCAACACCTGTACTCAAGTCCCATGGACAAAGCGTTGTGTCGTACGAGCCCGTAACCATCTGACGTTTATCAGGGAAAACTGCGACTGCAGTTACTAGTATGCGTCCTTCATGGCCTTTGAACCATCGCAGGGGAGTGGTGATTTTAATGGGCTCCGACATTTTACTGAATGTTGATGGTATGGAATATGGACGAGGCTAATCTTTGGAGGGATTATGTCTTTCTGTAAGCTGCAGAGGGTTTATGGTGCGTTTTATGGTGCTTCACTGCTTGCCTCATTCAATAGACGCCCAGGATATCTAAGGCTGTTCGTGCCCACGCCTCCATCACCGTAATGCACTCACCCTATTGTCATACCCGCTGTCCTCGACAGTATGTGCATCTGCATTGCATGCATGCGTCCGACTCTTGTCTTTTCAGCTTCCAGAATATATCACATCGCATCAAGTCGAGCAGTCCGTGCTTTCTAGCGCTCGAATCTGACTGTCTATCCTGCATGAATACCGTTGTTTTTCGTATCTAGCAGCTACTCCGGCTTATCACCACATTACTCCTTCGAACGCATGTATATAGCTTACTGCAATATCACTTCTCCATCCAACAGACTCCCAGATCCTTGTGCACAAGATGCAACGGACTCGCCTTACATTTAACCTCTATTTGGCAAGTGGCAGGCCTCTTCCCATGTTGCATAATAAATCTGGAGCAAACTTGAATATGCTGACGGATAACGAAAGCCAACGACACCAAAAACAAAGGTAATAGATGATTTCACCCCAGAACCATGTCCACACAGCTCTTAGCATTGCATTTTTATCAACTGCGATACCATTTCTTTCGTGTGGCGAGGGGTGAATATACACGGGAATACTGGGTGCCTACATCGGCTGCCTCAGATAAAATATAGGGATTCTCGGAGATGACTCACGTCGTTAAGCCTGCCGTCCATTTCACTCCTTCAGCATCAGGCCCGACATTCCATCCTGGCGCACGTTCTAACCGGAAAACAGTTAGAATATTCACAACTGCGGCGAATAAAGAAGCATCGGCGACATGTCGTCCAACACTGTTGAAAGGTGAGGCAAACCCGTCTATTCGCAAAACTCCAAGCTTCGTACCAAATACGCCTTCCAAATCCAAAAACAAAGGAAATATCGTCACTGGCAGGGCTGTGTGTTGACGGCTCTTCGACGGTGACTTTTGACATGTGACGCTCGGGTATGAACCTCGTCGGGTTAGGATATTTATCTGGGTTGCGCGCCATAAACCTTGCATAAGAAGAAATAATTATATATGATCTTTGTTCACTTGATATGATGAATCACCATGCGTTGGGTATTACAGTAGCCCCTTGAGAACCAGTTTTAGAAGGGCGATGATGTTTTCAGTCCATAGACTGACCTTTTGGAATATAGTAGCCTTCGTAGATGTCATCATTTACCGTGGCATGTGCAACGCCTAAATCCAGTCAGTGACCATGCTAACCGGAATTCGACGAGTCAAGAGTGCTGACCCAGAGGTGCGACAGGGAACCACCTTAGCGTCTCCAGTATGATGGCATTGATGTAGGGCATAGAAGCGCGATCATCCCAGTCGGGCAATCTTTCGAGAGTTTCCCCGATGACAGAATCAATCTCTGCTTGCGCACGTGCTTGCACCTCGGGATATAGAACCATCGCGAGCAGGAAGATGTATAAAGTGGACGTCGTCTGTGCCTTTGGTCAGTATATAAATAAAATAGAAATCGCGTCGAAGTATACAGTTCCTGAGGCGGCTAGGAGCACAGAGAAAATGAGTATAGATATAATGACCATTGCAGATTTTTCACGAACCAGCATAACCAGTTGCACTGGATTCCTTAATCCCTTTCTCAAGAACAGCGGCCTCCCCTTTATCTTGTGTTTTAACTGGTATGCGTTTCAATGCATCCGACACCACGGATGGTGCAGCCGTCCCCGCCGCCTGAGAATCATGATGAGCCTCATACTCCGATCAAAAGGCACTTGGAACTTGCCATGTTGTTCTTCACATGTTCAAAGGGCATGTCCACAATCATGGGAACGAGGGTTCTCTGGACTATAGCATCCCTCACCAAGCTCGCTCCAGGGAGCCAAGGAGGAAGTTTTTCCACTGTGAGTGTATTAGAATATAACTGCAGCTGATCGAAGTTATACGCACATATGGGGAACTGTGTTACAACAGCTGCGACCTCGGGCCTGAATACTTTTACATCTATCTCAAGTGAGCGTTCAACGAGCGCAAGGAAGGGATCATCAACGGGCGCTATAGTATAATCATACATGATTGACATGATGATAGACGTGCTGAAGCTACGTAGAAAGTATGGTTCAGCCACGCAATACATGAAAGGAGAGATTACTAACGTGTGAAGATGGGTTCCATACACCTCCGGAGAGGTTAGTAGGTTTAGTATCAAACTGCGAGCATTGCGCATTTGAATCGGACGGAAGGATGACACTGCTTTTAACTGGAATGCTTCATGGAAGATTCGCCTATCTGTAAAGAAATGATAAGTGCGATAAGAGAGCTTGAAGGGACAATATACTAACGAAGTTTCCACTTGTCTGAGTAGGGTAGAAAGGTAGAGGAGTAGTCATGACCAAAACTAGGACTCGTTTAACAATAGGAACATTAAATGATACTATGAAGGGCCTCACAAGCCAAGAAGGTGCACGAGTCCTGGGGGTCTCGTGGAATAGTTATGTGAACGACGGTCGAGCAAGTCATGCGCAACTCTTTCGGAGTTGATGATCACGATATCCTGACTAAAGAGTCGGGTGTAAACGATTTCCCCTGTGTCGCAATTCAGCACATCCAGATCCACATGTCGGAGGTTCTACGTACCATACTCAGTTCCCCATCTTGAGTATGCTAACCATGGATGATCTGGGTCGATTCCGATCACATTTCCGACAAAAGGGAGAGGTGGAGGACCAGGGGGTAAAGGATGCTTCTTAGTGTCTCTCTTCTTTTGCAAGGATTGCACTACCACGAAAGATACAAGCGCTATGAGGGCGAGTGCAAGTACTAGTGTTGGGGTCATCGCTGGAACCGAATAAGTGACTGAAGCGCCCCCGTATATGTGTGTCTGGATTTTGTACGGCCGGTGACCCCATCAATGCTGTGGGGCTGTGCCGTCCCCAAAAACTTTGGACAAGTGTCGATTCTTGAGGGCCCCGAACCCCTTGAACAGTGTCGTCGAAGTATAGCTTGGCTTCAGTTCGTGGAGATCGATTGTGTCGGACCTGTACATCGTACGGCTAGACTGTAGTCACTGTACGGCCGTTAACGGTATTACCTTTACGGTCGGAAAGTGTGCCGGTGTAACCTGCCCTGAACTGCCATGACTCTGCAGACTGCAGGGACAGCAGCGACCTTGTTTGGCCAAGACTTTTTAATTTTGGGCGTTGCAAATACGCTCTATTACACTAGGCTGGTACCTTGTTTTCGTTATGGCTTGGCAGCCGAACGGTCGTACCATTCGCACACACTCCACCTATACCAAGTCTTCTTTAGCCCCATCTGCCACCTCCTTGTAATTTTTCTTTGTTACCTATTCTTTGTTAACTAAATTTCATCCTGTGTTAATGATACCACACTCGTATACCGTCTCAGCCTGTCAGAGAGTCATTAACACGATCAGTGAGCAGGTTTCCCGCCCTCCCAAGCGGCTCCACCTGTTTGCGTCCCACCTCGAGCCAACGCTCGGTCCAGCCCAACCTACTAAGCAGTATCTATGATTCTCGAGTGAGACGACGCTGGAGGTACAAACTCGAATCAACTTGCACTGGTGGCAGGTGCTCGAAGAATGAGTTTACAGCAAGCGGGACCCTTCAGCTCAATGCTCGGAGGACTCACAATCAATTTTAGCACCAATCGGCAACAGTTTATACATGACAAAATTGCGAGCGTATTGTACAGACACAGCCGAGACTCGAGGGGAAACCTAATATACAGGGCCATCGAAATGACCGATGACCGGAAAATCGTCGGACTCGTAACATATTGAGCGATTTGGTAGAATGTCAAACATGTGCATGAACCTCCATCCCGCCCCATTCCAACACCCTGAACAAAGCTGTATCACTGGCTCTTGCAAGATCAACTCCAACTACATCCGCCCACCAAGCAACATCTTTCTCTGCTTGCATTCGCGCGTTAGGCCAATCCGCTAAGTGTTCCTTACGGATACCTCTGAACAGCATGAATACCCGAGTCACGATGTCAGGTTGCGGAGAAAGGCTTAAAGGAGCGGCACGTTCATATGCCAGTTGAGGGACAAATCGGAGGGCGATGTATTCGTGCTTGAGAATAGACGGTAGCCAGTAGCTACCGTAGTAGTAATCAGTTTTAGTGTGATACTCCGAGACGCATATACGGACGCACGTGATAAAGGATGTTCTGGCTTCAGTGTGAAGTCCCAGAGCCTTGAGCGACTTATCGAGGTAAACGGTTACTTTGTCCACTGAGATGACAATGGAGTCCATGTCGCCGAGAGTGCTGGATGTAGGACTGAATACATCCACTGATTGCAGTTCAGATGTTGGTGGACGCGGAAATGCATCCGAATTTGTCCTGCGAAGATTCATGTAAAATTAATTATGAGAGTGATTTCCATGTGATGAGAAAACTCACTTTGCCTCCCAGAATAAGTACGATACGTCTAAACCAGAGTTCCTTTCAGTCAAACTCCCGTCTTGGTGGGTGCGGACATTCCATTCGACATGCTGTCCGTGTTCTTGCTTCAGGGTAACAACGGGATAGATAGCGGAGAAGCTCCACTCAGGATTGAGGGATAGTTTGACGGAGACATCGACATCGGAGGGCGAGTATAGATAGATCACCGGCTTTCCACCGACCTGTGCCATTATAAAATAGATAGAGTCTCCATTCGAGATATTGTTTGACCCGATACTGCTGTCGTGATCCAATCTTGACCCACGCCACATTGTCCTGTATTCAGTAGAATCTCCCGACTTGCGAGCAACAATATCAGCAAGTTTCTGCACCGGCGCGGACAACTCTATCGTGACAGGAAGAACATCTCCAGATGTCAAAACCAAATAGAGCCTGACTTTGTCATTGTTGCTGCGCAATGAAATAGCCCTAGGGTTACTACTGCCACCGTGACTGGGCGGAAGTGCGATGGGCAATGGTAATTCTGCGCGAGTCACTTCAACGGATGTAAGAGATTCAATTACTTTGTCCCATGTTTCAGCCGTGATATCCACAAGTTGGCCTTCGCATATATCGAGTTGGTTGGTCTGGAATGTCATAGCGTTTCTTGGAATGGTTGGGAAATGTTTACATGCATTGTCGAGCATGACCTTATGATATCGATGAGCCATCTTGAAGATTTCAATGGTTGTTCCACCTACATTATACGACTTGTGTCGGTTAACCATTACACGTTTTTGACCATGTTTGAGAACAAGGAGTTTGGGGATTGGCTTCGCTACGTTGGTTCCACTGGCCTTTTTTTTGGAAACCTTAGGCATGGCAGTATAGAGACAGAAATACAGAGGTACGATGGTTTGAACTTTCAAGCAGAGTGCGACGATGTTGTCTTGTCGAAAATGTTTGCGTCCTCAGAGGACTGAGTAGTACTTGGTTAACTTGAAGATGAACTCAGTGGCACCGCCACTCTCGGATGATCGACATGCAATTACCATACTTGTAACGCTGGTGGATAATTCTGATGTTGCTCCATCTAAGTAAATGACAAGATTGAACATAAGTGAGGCAAGGTCTGCCAATTCGGCTGTATACTTGACCCATGAGATTGGATGAAAGAAACTCCGAACATCAGAGATTTCCCCTAGTAAGTACTATGCAGTCGGAAAATCCTCACAGCGATAAATAATTGCTCTCGACAGTGGTAGAGGAGAAACGGAAACGAGCGTCGAAAATGACCTGTCGTGACTCGTGGGCATCAAGGACTGGGTTGGCTGCTAGACGTTCCGAATAATTACGGCTTGCCACTTGGTGCAAGTGTGGGCGACCAGTTCACTGAGTTCCAGTAGTAATACAACAAGAAACGGGTTTGTCTACATAAGCCTCAACATAAATATACTTCGAAACACCATATATTGAATAAACACCACGACCGAAGAATCCTCGACCAACTTATGTCTCCTCCCTGCAGACCACTCGGCAAGTGTGTCCCTACACAGTACTGCTAGTTGATACACGTACATGCTCCTGGAAAATAATCGAATTCATGCTATTTTCTGCATCGGAGCCTGCCACGAGATTGGCATGATATTCTCGGACACTAAGGATGAGGCGTGGTCCCATCACAAACATCTGTACAAACAATAAAATTTGAAGAGCACCATTGAGCATCTGAGATCCAATAAAATTTGGATTCTACAGAACGACGAGCAGTGGTTACACGCAAGTGTAAACAACAGTTCGGCGCACCAAGAATTCTAGAGAGACTCTAGCAAACTGGAGGCAGGAGAGGCCAACAAAGCTAACATGTGCAGAACTTGAGCAGAAAAATATGACCACATTCACATTACAAGCTCACCTTGCAAAATAAAGCACATGAGATTTTATCAGTACTGTGAAACAGTCCCCGATGGTCGATCCTGTCGATGGGCCGAGTCGTCGCAGGTCGCGGAAGTGTTTTACAGAAACCCAGATCGAAAGACACAGTGCGAGGACCTCCCAAACAGTGTTGAGCATCCAAAGCATTGAAAAGAGAAGCCGGGCATCTATCCCAAAGCCAAAACTGCACGTATGTGTGCCAAAGAGTATAAACTCCCCTAGTGTTTGTCTAATGAGCCGTGTACTTCAAGTCAACAAGTGAAGCTTATCCGCTACAACGTACTTGACGTCTATTGACGAGATTACTCCACTGGCGATATTAACAGCCAGAAAGACAATAACAAGGAAGATGAGCATCATTCTAGATCCCTGATACATGGCATGTAAGCGAGCAATCATGATGACTTGCGTTATGTTTCAGTCAAGTCAATGCCAGAGTTATTGCGACTGGGTAACTCACCACCTAACATGACAGTTATGACCACATTTGCCCCAGTCAGCGCGTACATCGTAATATTGCCTGAAAACTCGAATAGTGATCATGCTTGTATTAGTAGCAAATGCTTCGACTTACACCTATTGCATCATTATGTTGAGCCACATTCAGCGTTCAGAATCTCACTCACCCCTACAAATTAGTGTATTCAGTATATGGGAATGAGATGGCTGCGGAATACTCACTGCATCTGTTAGAGTGACCATTGGCATATTTTCTGTGCCACGATCAGAAGAATTAAACACAGCGCATACGACACACACATACGCAGAATATAGGTACTAATTATCAAAGATGGGTTATTAGCAGTGCCAATTCGCTGGCCTGGACACATACACAGAATATGGTAGTCCAATGTAGCGTATCTGGAACATTGGGGAGTCAGCACAACTGCCAACCACGTTATGGCATAATATGAGGTACGAACAAGCAAATACAGCACAGACATCAGAGACCAGCGTTGTCTCTGTCGCGAAGTTATTGCATGCTCTTATTTTCTTCTGATACGGGACTCTTGTCACTAACCCAGATGAGTTCAATCTACGACACCAATCTTATCGAGTTGGCTGCTGCGGCGATAACATCGACCTACCTCTTGTCCAAGTGTTAGTGCTGGAAATATTGTGAGAATATCAGCAGTTTCCGAGCACCGTTTTGCTCACCCCAGTCGTATATTACTGCAACGCCAGCGGCAACTGTGAAACCGTAAGTCAATGTTAGATCTAGACATTTTGATACAACGAACTGTTCCAATAGCTGAAAAAAATAAGTAGATTCATTAGCGGCCACTGAGTGGGATCGTTTGAGACCTGAGTTATATTCGACGGATGGGTGTGAGAGTAAAGAAATTTTGTGGTGTATAACGATAGCATTCGTGCTAGATATATCACCGTCTGGCGCTTGTGTCGCCAAGATTTGCAGGATAGTCATGGATATTTGATCACACCTCAAGGACCCGGATAATCTGTGTGGAAGGTTGCGAAATCAAGCAAAGAGTGCAAGCTCTCGATAATCAAAGTAGAATTTGATTTGCATTTCCAACACCATTAATATTGTTGAGGTGTCCCGTACCAAATTATGTAGCATCGATCTAACACAGGTCCAAGTGCGATGTGATCGCAACAAGGATATGCGCTCAAGGCCTGCTATCAGCTCCTCCGATTGCTGTTTGTAATAGGGTGGTATTCTATGGCATGGCGCAAGGTCAGATGAGAAAAACAGCAGCGCATTGTATTTGGTGCATCCAATCGTGCCCTTGATGCGATGGTAGTGTATTGCACTGGCAAATACATCTTCACTCGCGCTGTGCGGCTGATATCTGTTAAACATATAAGACGTCATCCATACTGTTGGCTCAATGTGGAAACCGAGGACACGAAATCTGTGCAGCTGAAGATCAAGTGTGGTTTCTGCTTCTTTCATATTATTCCTCCTAGTGCCTGACTTGCGCCTTCGAATCTTTCCAGCCAGTCTGGTAATTTGGTCAGTAGAACTGAACCACGTTTGGGTCACGAGCAAGACGCTGGTTTGCAGTCATAGTTCAGGGTTGCCCGCTAGTTAATCTTCATGCGGGTGGCAGCGCGGATAACTTGCGTAGCCTCCAGCTCTACGGGCCTATTTGCAGATCATGATTGAAGTACCTGGTGTCAAAAAGATCAGGTGGAACGTTCATTATCGTACAGACATACCATTGCTTCAAAATCTTAGTCACAGTGTAAGTGACTAGCAGACCTAGGGCCTGTGGTTGCAGGCGCATTGAGGCTTGATTGCTGAAATCGCCCGTTGGTCACCGGTTGTGTTCAATAAAGGCACCAAACACGCTGCTGGGTATGATGATGATCCAGAGAAAGAATAGACCGTGTTGAGGCAGGGGGCTCAAGACACACATGATACTGGACATGATCAATGAATGATAGTAGTGTTTTATGACGCACCAAACATAGTACAGAAGATACGGGGCCTCCATCGGCAACGTACTAACGACGTTGAAAATTGGTCTGACTCTGAAAGCCATTTACTGCCTTCGGTGTTTGCCGAGTCGACAAATGAACCACTCTGACTGTCGCAGTGCTCTGCAAGTAATCGGCTAACAGAAGGACCAGAATTGACATGCGTCGTGCACGTAAAGTTCGACGGACAGGCATTATGCCATCTGAGGCTGAGTACTAGTTGGACCTTCTTTGTACGCCATGAAATACTTCGCCAGCCTCACGAGCACTGCTCTATTCCTTGATTCCTACAGTGACGTCTTCTCTTCAGATTCCCGAACCGATAATCTCAGCCCATATGCGCCCATGCTGATTTGCGCATTCCAATATAGGACTGCGCCCCCAAAGAATTGACACTGGCATATGCATTAGAGACGCTTATTCAGGGCGTCTGGTTTTGGCCAGTTGTAAGTTGTTTGCCCCATTCCACCTGTCGACGGCATATGCTAGATCTACTCACCATCAATACAGCAGCGCTCATGCGCCCGCCGTCCTCGAGCATCAATATAATCGCTTGATTATCTAGACCTAGACTTTACCCCAACCCTACCCGAGGACGATGTACCAGTCTATCGAACGAACCACGTATTTCAATGCTCAAGGTAAGCATTTCTATGGGCTTTCGTTTATGATATGCTCTCACTACCTGCAACACGCTTATTTTCCTCTCGTAATCCATCTACATGGCATGGACAGCCCGGAAGGATGATGATGTCCATGAAGAACCATTACTATCTGGGCTGCCGCAAATCTTCGTTCTCGTTTTCAAAAATAGAATTTCCCCTTGTATTCCATTTGCCCGAGTCCACCAACTGGTCTAGATGAATGAGCGAGATTGTTGCCAGACCAGCTGTCTGAACCGACATGCTACTCGCGGTGACTGATATTGATGACGATGGTGTCAACAGATGGGTCCGTGTCATAATCTGGTTCGATGCTTCACGCTGACAGACGTGCAACTTTCTCTATGGGTGTCAACAGATCACAAGGGTGGTGGGCGCCATACTGATACTTCCCAGGTGCGCTTGATGCCTTCCGACTTGAATCTCTTCTATACTCTCCACTCAGCACTTGTCATCTCCTTGCCACGCGCATTCATTCGGGACAAAGGTATATACTCCCCCGTCAGTCTCTTTTTAAATCATCATGCTAAATATTGTTGAATCATGTTTGAACAGACATAAAACTCGCGATATAGTGCCTACTTCCCCTCTTCACACACGATTCGTTCTGCAGCCCAGATGGGGTAGACATGCGTCTGGCCCATTCCGCTCCGCTCTTGTGCACAGCCCTCAGTTATTCAACAGAAACGGCTCGACTCACAGGCGCTATCGAAGGTATACAACGTGGAGAAGGACCATCAGAAACGAGTCCATTCAAAAACTACATTGGTCACCCTAATGGCTTCCCAGGCACACCTTGAGCCAACTATGCAGGTTCAGAACTAAACTCTGTCATATCGCTCATAATTTGTTCAATTTGTACTATAAGCTGTCTGAGCTCGGCAACGCTAATTCTACTATAGCTAGCGTTATTGGTATACATATGGTTTCATGGTCCAATCTAGGGTACAGTGATGTTTGTCTGTATAAGTTGAAGTCCGTTCCACGTGTTCATATTCGCGATCCTACATTCATTGAGTAGAAAAGGCTCGACTCGTAGCTTAGACCTTGTGGAGAAGGGTCATCAGCGAGGAGACTATTGGCAGATGCAACAAGAAATAGCTTTGCCTAGACCTTTCAAATATACTTCGAAACACCATATGTGAAATAGTTTTTTTTTTTTTTTGAATCCTTGTTTTTTGTCCGTTGGGGCAAGGCCCTATGGTAGACAATACATGCTGTATCTACTGTTTACTTTTATGTGCGTGTGTACAAGTGGGGCGACTTGTTCATTGGTCCTGGCCGAAGCGCGGACTGTGACACCAACTTAAGGTGAGACGGGTGTTGATACATGTGTATGTGCGGGTGTTCGGTCCTTCTATTTACTATGTGAAATAGATACCACCACGGATCCTCGATCAAATTTCTCCTCCCTGCAGACCACTCAGCAAGCATTTCCCTATACAGTACTGCTAGTGGATACATGTACCCGCTCCTTGAAAACAATCGAATTCATGCTAGTTTCTGCGTCAGAGTCTTCCATGAGTTCACCGTGGTATTCTCGAACGCTAAGAATGAGGCGTGGTCCCAGCACAAACATCTGCATGACCGATAAAATCGGAAGAGCACCATAAAGTATCTGAGCTCCAATAGAATTTTGATTCTACCGAAATGATGAGCGTTGGTTACACGCAGATGTCAACAACGGGTCAGCGCACCATGAGCTCCATAGAGGGAATTGTAAGTTCGAGGCAAGAGACACAAATAAAGCTGGTACATGCGGAACTTAAGAAAAAGAAAACTAAATTGACATCACAAGCTCACCTCGCAAAATAAAGCACATGAGATTGCATCAGCACTCTGAAACAGTCCCCGATAGTTGATCCTGTCGATGGGCCGAGTCGTCGCAGGTCGTAGAAGTGTTTCACAGCAATCCAGACTGAAAGGCACAGTGCGAGGACCTCCCAAACAGTGATGAGGATCCAAACCATTGAAACAAGAAGCTGGGTGTCCCCTTCATATCCATAGTCGCACATATACATGCCAGAGATTATCAACTCCTCTGGCGTTTATCCAATCAGCCGTGTTCTTAAAGTCAACAAGTGAAGCTTACCCCCTACAGTGTCCTTCAGTGTTATTGCCACGATTACTCCGCAGGCGATGTTTACAGCCAGGAAAATGATAACAAGGAAGATAAAAATCGCGCTAGATCCCTGATACATTGCATGCAACCGAGCAATCATGATGACTTGCATCATGTTTCAGTCGAAGAGATATCACTGAGGTATTGCAGCTGGATAACTCACCGCCCAACATGACACCTACGACCATACTTGTGCCATGTAATGCGTAGTACATAATATTGCCTGGACCACCTAATTAGTTAACACCCTCTATGATACTAGGATCAAACGCTCCAACTTACACCTATTGAGTGTTTATGTTTAGATAAGCTCAATCATGATGGTCAGAATCTTACTTACACCTACAAATGAGTGTATTCATCAGATCAGGATAAGATGGTAGTGGAATACTTACTGCATCTGTCAGCGAGACCCATATCATACTTGCTGTGTGACGTCAGTCAGAACAATCAAACACAGCACATATGAGACATACGCAGAACTTTGGCACTGATTGTCAGAGCTGAGCTATTAGCACGGTGCCAATTTGGATTTTGTTGGCCTCGACACATACACAGAATACGGTATTCCAATGTAGCGTATCTAGAACATTTTGGGGTCAGCACAACCGCTAACCACGCTATAGTACAACATGAGGTACGAACGACCAAATACAGCACAGTCATGAGAGACCAGCGTTGTCTCTGTCGCCAATTCAATGTATTCGTATTTTTTCTGATATAGAAATCTTGTCACTCACCCAGATCAGTTCAACCTATAGCACCATTCTTAGCGAGTTGGCTGCTGCGGAGGTAACGTCGACGTACCTCTTGTTCGAGTGTCAAGACTGGTAATATCATGAGAATATCAGCGATTTTCGAACACTGTCCTGCTCACCCCAATCGTATACCACCACGATGCCGGAGACAACTGCGAAACCGCAAGTCAACTTAGATCTAGACATGTTGATGTGACGAACCTATCCAATAGCTGAAAAGAACATTTGAATTGATTGTCGGCCACCAACTGGGATCATTTGAGACGTAGGTCATGTTCGAGGGATGGGTGAGCGAGTGGGGAATGTCAGTGGTGTATAACGACAGCGTTCGTGCTAGATATACCACCGTTCGGCCCTTGTATCACCAAAATCAGCATAACGGATATGTATATTTGATCCTGCCTCAAGACCCTTGATTGAGTGAAACGATGCAAAGTCAAACAAAAAGCTGGCAATCAAGATAGATTTTGATTTCCAAACCATATAGTCATCGATCAAATCAGGTCAAAGTATGATATGCTAGACTCGACGATAACCAGTCTGGACTACGTCTTTGAGATGTGAAATATTTGACGTAGTCAGACTCGTCGGTCTCGCGAAGTGAGGAGTTTGAAATTTGACAGATGCCGGTAGGGATCCGCAGGGGTACTATGGGTCACCCGTGCGGGTCACGGGTAAGGGTACCTGTGTAAGCCTGTGGCTTGCTACCCGTGACAGGCGGCCTAGTGTTGCCGCGGTTCTCGGTTATAGCCGGCTAAAGCTGTAGCCGGAGCTATTGTTAGCCAAGCTCTATGTCTTGGATCCGAAATGGTTATCTAAGCCGGCCGAGGCACGAGGCTGGATTAGAATTAGTCTGTGTGCGAATAAGCGATGTGGCGCAGCGCTTTCTGCCTCTCACCACCATTGCAGTATTCTCTCGTCCTAAGTACTAGGCACTTACCATCCTCTTTTGCATCATTCATACTTGCATAAATGGCCCTCGAGAATCCACATGAAGCTATAAGGCCTGATTTCAATGCTAGAGAGCACCAACCAGCCTGCCAGCAGCTAATAGCAGATGGACTCAACGAAGACCAAGCCACTTGCACGCTCGAATCCTTATGGACTCTAAAAAACAACGCCGACAAGGCGCATTGGAATGAGAGACAAGAACGGATACAAGAAACACGTCAGCGGGAAGAAGAGGAAGAACAGCAGCGCCTTCAAGTCCTTCGGGACGAAGAAGAGGCAGCTCGTCTAGAAGAGCGAAAGAAAAACAAGAATAAGTACGCACCTTTTGCTCGAGGAAAAGTTCCTTCAGAACCAACCATTCTCCCAGCTCCGTACGCTACGAGAAAGATTAAAGCAGGGGACTATTGTGAATTGCATTACTTTACCAATAAAGGCCTCGACGATGCCAACAAGAGTGCCCAGATCGCAGAACCAGATGCGCTGGTCATGCTACCCTCTGCGGATGGCATTCACTCATGGGTCCCCACCAATGCGGTGAAAGACCCCAAAGCATCTCCAGTCACGAAGGACAAGAACCTTACCTGGGAAGAATTAAACGAGGCAGTGGCACGCATCATCAACTATATGAAAACTCACGACTGGCCAGTCGAACGAGTCAACATGCTCATCCAGTTTTGGTCGGCTCTACAGCAGCATCGTTGGCACCATGCCTCTGACCCGCTAAAGCAGCGCGCACTGCTACTGTATCAGTCACAGCAGCGCCGCAGATGGCATTTGTCAATCAGCACAGGGCTAACCTGGAGCCTTGAGGAGATCAATCAAGATCTCCTCTTAGAAGCTCGGGAAGAACTGTTCAATGAACAACGGGAACAGCAAACGGTAGCGGCGATTCAGGTCAGTACCGAGATCTTGGTCAAACAATCCTACAAGCCACTAATCATTTCACTACTATACAATACCTGCCTTTGTGCACCCAATTAACTTTGTGTAATCACTCGCTTTGTTTCCTATATGTTGGCCATCACGTGCCAACGTCCCCTCTGTTCGATGTGGTTGAACAATCATGTTCTTCACACCACATCCTACACCCCCCAAACATTGGCCAATCATGTGCCCACAACGGTCAAACACGACCTTCCCCCCCCATGGGCCAATCATGTGCCACACAATGGTCAAACATGACCTTCCCCCCCCCATGGGCCAATCATGTGCCGCGCAATGGTCAAACACGACCTGTCCCCTGCTCGACTCCGCCGTGATCATCACGTCGTCGATATTCACAACCATAGCAAGCAGCAGCGGCCTATATGACAAACAATTTCGAGTCGCTGCGCCAGCAACAACCTAGCGCAGCTCCTCCAAAGCGCCCATTCCCAACAACAGAGGAGGTATCAGGGAGTAACAAGAAGGTATGCACCACCCGCGCTCCTACTCCCTTGGGCCCCCTCCCATGTTGTGCAGTTTGCCTCGGACGCAACCCCCATTGCACCATCGACTGCGCTGCCACCCAAACCTGGGACAAACAGCATGACACTTTCGCGGAATGTATACCCAAAGTGCTGTGGTCCAAAGACGGCAAGCAATTATGTACCGCATGGCAAAGAGAAGATGGCTGCACTGCCCCTAGGCACGATGCAAGGCACATTTGCTCAGGATGCAGAGCAGCTTCGCACGGAGCCCAGAAGTGCCCTCGTGCACAGAAAGCTTCACCCACTGATGCCGTACAAGGCTGATGCCTGGGAACGTGAACTTCAGAATGCTGGAATCCTTGAACGTTTTGCTAAAATACCAGTCGGCTTCCGATTAGGTTTTATCATAGACTTCCCTTCTATTTCAACTGTACAAACACCCCCGAATAAAGTTTCTATTATCGAGTATGCATCCGAGTTTGATAATATCATCCAAAAGGAACTGGTCAAAGGGAGATATGTAGGACCTTTCACAGCAGATGTTCTGGAATCGTTAATAGGACCCTTCCAATCATCTCCCCTGTCAATCATCCCTAAGCCGGGCAAACCGGGGAAGTTCAGAATTGTGCAAAACTTCTCGTTCCTGCATGAAACCAATGTGTCCTGTCCCAACCCTTTGGTGAATTCTTACATCGACGCAGATAATTTCCCCACAACCTGGGGAAAATTCTCAATGATCTATCGTTTAATCTCGAGACTTCCCCCAGGTTCAGAAGCAGCGATAGGGACATAGCTGAAGCTTACCGCACAGTACCCCTACACCCATCCCAATGGCCTGCTGGAATAGTCAGAATTTCGGATATGCAATTCTGCATAGACACCTGCACAGCCTTTGGAGCCACACCATCAGCAGGTGTCTACGGACATGTGGCCGATGCAGGAGCAGAAATTTGTTGCTACTGAGGTATCGGCCCCCTTGACAAATGGGTTGATGACCACATTTTCTTCTGAATACATCAAGAACACCTAGCTATGTACAATGAACAGAGACTCGCTTGGCACCAAGCATTCGCCAAAGCTGGACTACATCAATCAGGAAGTAGGCTGTGGTACGGAGACCAATGTCTAATCAGCGGACAGTTAGAAGAATTCAGTGAGAACTGCATCCATCCCCTTAAGGATCTATCAAAGTCCTCGCTGCAGTCCGAACACGACAAACTTTCCACTTTCTGCCTGGAAGACGTCAACGATCTATCTCACAAATTGGGTATCATTTGGGAACTGCTGAAGGATCAACCATTCAAAACAACAACTGTCTACATCGGCTTTCTCTGGGACTTAAAAATGATGTACGTTGCTCTAAGTGCTGCAAAAATAGACAGATACCTTGCAGCTATTCACAAATGGAGGAAACACCCAACACACATTTTAAAAGACGTACAGGAACTATATGGGAAATTGCTTCACGCATGCGCAGCCACTCCCCGAGGCCGAGCGTACTTAACAGGACTTGAAGGAATGTTGGTGTCGTGTGGCACAAATCCTTTCCTGCCTCACAGAGCATCAAAAAACATCGCCGACGAACTAGATTGGTGGTCACTACTAGTTTAATCAGGTGGTGTTGCTAGACTAATATATCCTACAGTCCCACTAATGAACCCGGAAGCTTTCTCAGATGCAATTTCCGGAATTGGAATTGGAATTGTTATTGGAAAGTGTTGGCGTGCGTGGCAACTCATACCAGGGTGGAAAACTCTTCATGGGAAACGAGACATTGGATGGGCAGAGGCAGTGGGCTTCAAGCTCCTCGTATATGCTCTCGCCTCTCTGCCTAGCCCTAGCGGCTGCATCCTCGCCCACAGAGATAATACTGGAGTTGTCGAAGGGTGGTGGAAGAACCATCACTGAAACACAGAAGTCAACATCGTATTCTGGCAAATCCACAAGTTTATACACAACGTACCCCACTGTTTCGAAGTTGTTACAACCTACATTACCAGTGAATCCAACCCAGCAGACAAGCCTTCTAGAGGCATCTATGGCCCAGCCGAACTTCTTCTTCCCGCAATCCCCATTCCAGCCAACATTAGCCCTTTCATCATCAACGCAACCAAACCTCTATCCCCAGCTGAAATCCGTCACTTGCGCAAAGGAAACTACTCTGCCCCAGCCGCTAAACTCATTAACCGTGCCCTTGTTCGCCAACAAGCCACCGAGAGAGCAGCTGCTGAACAATTTAAGGAAGACACCCTCATCAACAATGCCCTCTGTGACGAATGACGCCCAAAGAGCTTCTTGGTTTGGAGCCTCACTACTGAGAACAAACATATCAGCAATAACTCCCCAAGCCTACCGTCCAAATCTTACACCAAACCCTTCCCCACTTCGCCCGCACTGCCTCACCTGAGACAGGCTGCACCTGTGGCCGCCAGAAGGGGAAAGTACCAGACAAGCAACAAACGCACCTATAGGAATACCAAACCACGTAGTATCAGATGAGCAGTTAGACCAAATACTCGAGGTAATGGGATCATCATGGGCACAATCCATGAAAGAAGCCTACGGCGGAGGGCTCCTCGTTTTCCATGTATATTGCGACATGCAGAGGATCGGCGAAGACAAGAGATGTCCCATCGCTCCGAACCTGTTGCTTGAATTCTTGTCCAGCTGCGCAGGGTCGTATTCCAGTTCAGCGCTGTCCAACTTTGTAGCAGCCTTGAAGGCATGGCACCTGCTGCACGGCAGAGAGTGGAGAATCAATCCCGAGCGCTGAAAATGATCCTGAACGGAGCAGCAGCATGCGCACCTGAATCATCTAAACTCCCCAAAAGACCCCCAACAACCATAGATTTCATCACCAACGTCCACAATTTCCTTGACCTAAACGCGCCGCTAGATGCGGCTGTTTTTGCTTGTCTAACAACCACCTTCTATTGCGTCGCGAGACTAGAAGAATTTACAGTAGCATCAATTAAAGACTTCAATCCAAAGAAACACATTACCAGAGGTGATGTCTCAGAAGCGCGAGACCGCAACGACCTGCCAGTGACGAAATTTCGGTTACCTTATACAAAATCAGCAAAGTACGAAGGAGAGGAAACCTTTTGGGCCAGCCAAGATGGCCCTACCGATCCTAAGACTGCGTTAGAGAATCACCTCTGTGTTAACCAAGCAAACAACAGAGAACACCTTTTCGCATGGAGACACCCCAAAGGAATTTGACCATTGTCAAAGAGAGAATTCTCCAAAAGGCTGACGAAGGCAACGACAGAAGCCGGACTACCAGACCTAAAAGGGCACAGTCTACACATAGGAGGAACTCTTGAGTACCTGTTGAGAGGAATACCCTTCAACATGGTCAAATAAATGGGGCACTGGTCAAGCGAAGCATTCACAATATACCTGCACGACCACGCACTTATCCTAGCGCCATACATCTAAGCATCGCCAAGTCTCTAACCGTTTACTCAGTACATGATGCCACCCGTTTGTTGAAGCGCTGCGAAAGTGAGTAGATCAGCTCCTGTAAGAAAGGAATCAAGCTGCACTGCATGCATTGCTGAAACTCCTAAAGACTGGGAACACAGCTCACCTTGATCCATAGGTTCAAACCCATGTTTCGGGCCGGAACAGCCCTTCGGGCTGACGCCCAAACACTCAACACCTGCTTACAACCTGCCTCATCGAGAGTTCCGTCAGAACATAGACTCTTTCTCATAGTACACACCATAATCCTATCGTTTGTCACCAAAGTTGATCGATGACTCTAGTCATTAAGAGCGCTAACTTGTCATGTAGTGCATAGAGGTCAGGCCAGGCCAAGTCAATCCATTATGAATATTTTATTTGGATTGCCAAGAAATGGAGTCAACATCAACAAACTGAAATGAGACTACAGATAAGGCTAACATGGATTTGGGCAAGAAACCTTTTTGGTTTGTTCGACCGAAACACATCTTCAAGCTCTGAAAGAAAAGAGGCAAGCATGAGCGGAGATTCCCAGGGTATAGGAGCAAGATGACACAGCTAGCGCAATGCTTGCCCCCAAAGGATAGTCATAAAATGACTCACCAGTTAACAAACAGGTGGCATTGCATAACATGTGAAAGGTTCGAGAATGGGACTGTTGTGCAGATATGGGGCCATCACAACAGCATGCTGTCGGAGGTAAACCAGGAAGGCATCTCCACCCCAACAACCCATGGACTTCACAGTCTCGAAGGGTACACCACACAGCAGGTACTCCAACGTGCCTCCAATCCGAATCCCATGACCTTTCAATGGCTCAATCCCTGCTGACGAAGATCGTGTTCCAAGCGCCGAAGAAACTCTGAACAAGTTAGAGGCCTAAGGCCATTTTGATGATGCCAGCTGAAAAGAGCTGCTTGGGGAGGTGGAGTGTTGACTCTCAGGTGCGCATCTAGCCCATGCTGTGGATCCACTTCCCCAGATTGAGGAGCGAAGTACAGGTCTTCTCCAGCTGCTGACATCTTTGAATGAGGTAAATGGAGGACAGTTACTTTTAGTCTGTGGCGATCCTCGGCATAGCAAATGTCTGAGACTTTCACGTTAAGAGTGGGATCAAAGGCATTCAAAGAGTGTACAGTTACTTCTCCAAGGCGCATGAGCATGAAGAAAGATATCACGAGGCATGCATATACTGCGGCATTGAGCGGAGCAGAAAGATCTAGCCTAGAGCGGAGAGTAAGGATGATGTCCAGTGTGAATGGTAGACATTTGAGACATTTCGAGGGAGGAGGAGCTAAGCGAGCAGCACCTGTGAGGGCAGATGATATCTGCTCCGAATGTCCCAGCCAGGTGAGACCGTGCAAAAGGTGCCAGGCTCTAACACCATAAAGGTAATTCTCGAGAGTTTTTCCAGAGTAAATGCCTGCGCAAGTCGCAATGAAACTGAGTAGCAGTAAGAATGAAGCTGGACCCCGCTGGCTCTCGGATATGCATCAAGCATCACAGAAAACATGATATACTAACAATCCCGAGCCATAAACTTCTTTAGTCCCAGAGGTGAGCGAGTGCCCTATAACAGAGAGAATAAATCGCTTCTTGGACTAGTACCAAGTGGCACCCTGGCTAGGACCCCGAAAACCAGTCATCAACATCGGCCTCAACAGCGCCAAGGATGCCCTACAGTGGCCTAGACGCCATCAAAACACCCTCAATTCATCTCAACCTCTCACCACCAAGATATGCCTGGAGATAGGAGAAGTGTCAGCATTGGCTCAAGGCCGTCGGACCACCACACCACCTCTCCAACCTATGGTCTCAATACCTGCAGAACCACAAGATCTGCAATTTCCCAAAATGACATCGAAGCAATGGCCAGTGTCGTGAAGGACTCATAAAGCGGAAAGCAATACCTCACTTCAAAACTAATTTGCAATGTTGATCAACCCTTCACACTGATGCACCTAATTTCAGTTCTATTTCAAATTACTCAAATGTCCAGTACCACCCCCTTACCAGTCACATCAGCAATCAGAGTGGTCGCTTTTCTCCTAAAGGACCATGCTGCCTGCGAAATCATGGACTCTGTGGCTGCGCGACTCATGGACATGCTTACCCCCAAGCTGGTCGACCACGTGATAGCCACCATTGCTCCCCAGGTGGCATGCATATACGCCGCATCAACGACAATTGCATCCATGATGGAACAAGCTGAGAAGGTACTCAGCATGCTGGAGAGAGAAAAAACTGAGAAAGAAGATGTCATTAAAGTGGCAGCAGAAAGAATTGAGGAAGCGGCTGACATTTTATTCTCCTTGGTCGAAGACTGTCAAAATGTAGTCAAGATACTCTCTCCCTCCCTGGAGGCTACATAGGACCGACTAAACCTTCTCTCCACTCAAATCTCAACTCTCCCCTCCAAGACCACCACCACCTCGTCTCAGTCATCATACAGCTCTGTCACGGCCTCTCATCTTCAACCCACAGTAGACCAGGCAGTAGGAAGAGCCGCTATTCGTGCATGCCAGGTCCTCCTAGACCCCATGCCAGGAGAAACTCTGTTCCCTCCCAACACGTTGAATGTTGATATTGCCAAGAAGCTGAAAAAAGCACTCACAAAGGCAAGAGACGACTCCACCCCCCCAGGAAGTATCAGGGCGGTGATGGCACTACGCAATGGGGGCATCGTAATTGAAATGGAATCCGAAAGCCTTGCGAAATGGATGAACAGCCTGACAGGCAGAATCGCACTGGAAAGTAACATGGAATCAGCTGTATTGTTTCGCAACTGCACCTACCCAATAGTCTTAGAATACTTACCTATTCATCTACAGATCGAAAGCACTGAATTCCTACGTCAAGTAGAGCAGGAAAATGGTCTTGGTGAAGGCTCGCTAGCAAGTATCTGCTGGATCAAACCCCCCATGAAACGTTCAGCTGAACAACGGAAGGCCTTCGCTCTTGTTCACATGGCCAACATTCAAACTGCCAATGACATCCTCAGAGACGGTCTATGCATCGAAAATAAATGCATTAGTGTGCGCAAGGACAAGAGGGAGCCCATACGATGTGCTAAGTTTCAACACTTCAACCATATTGCACACAACTGTTCGGCACCAGCGGACATATGTGGTACATGTGGAAACCAACACCGCACCAGCGCCTGCAACTCCTTCTGCACCACATGCTGTGTCAACTGTTGCAGTCAGCAACATATGAGCTGGAACAGATCATGTCCGGAATTCACCAAACGATGCAAGGAAATCGACGCCAAATACCCGGAAAATCACATGCCGTATTTCCCCACGGAACATGCATGGATGCAAGTCACTCAACCTCCAAGACCCACCAGATCACCCACCCTATCGCCTCCTCCAGAGCACTCTCAGACTGCAGGTCCACCTATACTCTGCCAGACAACTATCGGCTTCCGTGCTCAGCAACCTCATCAATCCCACTCACCTCAATGCCCTCAGGACCCCTCTATTCATGACATCATCGCTTCACCTACTTATTTCCACAAAGCAGACTCCTCCAACAGCACCCCCTCATCTCACTCCTCTCATGTCTGAGCACACCCACGAAACCCCCGTCCATTTAAGAATTTGGCAGCAGAATCTTAATATGTTGATGATGGTGCAAGCCTCTTTACTTAACAACCCCAACACCGCTGAGTGGGACATAATTGTCATTCAAGAGCCCCATATCAACTTCCTATGCAACACATGCGCCAACCATCACTGGCACATTCTCTATCCATCTCAGCATTATACTCACCCTCTTCAGCGCACTCGAGCCATCACACTAATAAGTACTTCTCTAGATACTAATTCATGGAAATAGGTTTTATTCCCATCCTCGGACATTGTAATCACCCAGCTTATGGGACCATTTGGACATTGTACCATACTCAATATTTATAACAATTGCAGGGACCAAAGAACTCTAGAGGCACTCGGCATCTACCTGGATGACAACATCACTACCATACAACCGGCAGAGGACGACCACGTCCTCTGGATGGGAGACTTCAACTGACACCACCCACTGTGGGAGGAGGCCTGCAACGGCCACCTATTCAACTACAATGCAGCTCAACTGCTCATTGATTTGATTGCAGACCATGACATGATTCAACTCCTCCCATGTGGTCTTCCCACCCTGCAATCCACGAGTTCCAGCAACTGGACACGGCCCAACAATGTATTTGGAACTAAACTACTCGTTGACGCGGTGATCTCCTGCACGACAGACCCAGCTCAACGCGGTCCATGTACCGACCATGTCCCAATCCACCTCATTCTGGACCTTGAAACCCCAAAGGTGGACATGGAGCCGCGCTGGAATTGGTGGGAGACTGACTGGGAATTGTTCAATGAACGACTTAGCAAAGCCCTTTTGCCCTTCCCTCCTCAACCACTAGCATCTGACGAAGAATTTCAGGTAGCTGCTCATCATCTCACCAGAGCCATCACAGACACCATGGAGGCGTGTGTACCCTTCACCAAGCCTTGTCCACACTCCAAGCATTGGTGGACCCACCAACTCTCTAACCTACATTGACAAGTCAATGTCCTTAGTCAAGAAGCCTATTGTATGCATGGTCTCCCAGCGCATGCCTGTCACGATGCCCTCAAAGCCCTCAAAAAGCGATATACAGAGGAGATTGAATTGACAAAAAAACAACATTGGATAGAGTGGTTGGAAGACATTGAAGGTAATGATCTCTGGACTGCTAACAAATATATCACATCAGAACCCCAGGATGGAGGGAAGACAAGGATCCCCACTTTGGTAGTCAAAAGACCAGATGGCTCTATGGTGGAAGCCAATACCAACACCGAAAAGAGCACCATCATCGCAGAATCCTTCTTCCCCCCACCCCCTGCCTTCGACTCTGTCCCTCCCAATGCAACCTATCCTGATCCTGTCACCCCGCATACTCCCATCACCTCGAGCAAAATCAAATGGGCCATCAGCAAATTGAGCGGATATAAGGTGCCGGGTTCTGATGGAATCTGCAACATCATATACAAGGAATGCGCCAGTCCTCATCCCCTATCTAGACCACCTATTCAACACTGTATTCTCTCACTGGACGTACTACGAGCCATGGAGAAAATTCACTACAGTAGTGCTCCACAAGCCAGAAAAGCCCAACTACTCAATCCTGAAGGCCTATCGTCTCATTGTGCTGCTTAACACCCTAGGTAAACTACTCACTGCAGTAGTGGCAGAGCACCTCACGTTCACTTTGGAGCACCATCAACTACTACCTAATACGCACTTTGGGGAACGACCAGGACGCTCCACCACTGATTCACTGCACTTACTGGAGGAAACCATGAAGAATGCCTGGAGGACCCACAAGGTTGCCTCCGTCTTATTCCTCAATATTGAGGGTGCCTTTCCCAATGCGGTCACCAAGAGACTGATCCATAACATGCACATGAGGTGCATACCAGGTGACATCGTTAGCTTTACAGAACGGGTACTAATGAATCGACAGACTCAACTATGCCTCGACAGTTTTACATCAGAATGGATTCCCATCACCAATGGAATTGGGCAGGGGGACCCTCTCTCCACAATCCTGTACATTATCTATAGTTCAGACCTCGTTGACATCGCGAAACCCCGCAGGGGACATCAAGCATTCAAGGAAATGACTCTGGCCTTTGTTGACGACATGGTGTTTATCGCTGTAGGTAAGACTTTCAAATCTACTCATGCGATCCTGGCAGATATGACTGGTTGAGACAGCATAACTCACGGTTTGAAACTAACAAATTTGCCCTCATAGACTTCTCCATGAACTGACAGAAAGAGCGCCCCACCATGCACATCCAGGGTGATGTCATCACACCCACTCCCTCTCACCAATTCCTAGGAGTCATGGTAGATCAAGAGCTACGCTGGCGGGCTCAAATCGACAATGCCGTGGCGAAGGGCACCACCTACATATTCCAACTATGAAGACTATCCTCAGCAGCCAAAGGTTTACCTCTCCGCCTAATGCGTCAGTTATACCTAGCGGTAGCTGTCCCCAAGATGCTATACGCAGCAGATATCTGGTTCACCCCCATATTTCGAGAAGGCTCAGACATGCTGCAGAAAGGTTCGATCGGGGTGGCAAAATGTTTAACATTGGTCCAACACATCGCAGCAATAGCCATCACGGGCACTATGAGAACTACAGCTACTGATCTACTTTGAGTCCATGCTAACCTGCTCCCGATCCCATTACTTCTACAGAACGCTTGCCACAGGGCCATTGTTAGGCTCACCACTCACCCCGATACTCATCCTTTGCACAGTCTAGTTCGCCAAGCTGCCAGAAGATACATCGCCTCCCACCGCACCTCCCTACATCGCCTCACTCGTCAATTTGCAATCATCCCTGAGGAGATCGAAACTCTCATCCCTGCATGCAGACCCCCATCTAGTACTAACCCCTTCAAGACCCATATAGCAGCCAATAAGGAACAAGCCATTGAGGAACACACCCAATTAACAGATCTCATACAGGTTTACAGCAATGGTTCAGGCCACCAAGGTAAAATAGGCACAGCTGCAGTTCTCTTTCGGGCAGGCAGATAGCCCCACACACTGCGCTATCACCTAGGAACAGAGAAGGAACACACCATTTTTGAGGCAGAAGCCGTCGGACTGACACTAGCGGCAAAGTTAATTGCAACCGAACATGACTTAACATTCCCACTGACCATCCTCATCGACAACCAAGTGGCCATCCAATCCGGTGAGGGTTTCTATTCATGCCCGGGATCGTACTTAGCAAACCGTTTCTGTAGAATGATGAAGGGAATTGCCGAAGCTCATGATGGCTTTGACATTACAGTACAATGGGTACCGGGACATTCAGACATCCATGGAAACGAAGAGGCAGATAAGCATGTGAAGCGGGCCACAGAAGGACACCACCACAGTAGCCCGAGACGACAACTCCCCCACTATCTACGACATAATGTCCTCCCCCTCAGCATCTCTGCGCTCAAGGAAGAGCACTACAAAATGACACAAGCCCATCAAAACAGGATATGGCGCAGATCACCTTGTTACGCATGCATCCACAAGATAGACCCTCAGTTACTTTGCAACCCCTTCCCCAAGCTCACCACCAGCTTCCTGAAGCAACTTATCGGCCTCTACATGGCACTACATACTCACCATGCTCCCTGCACAAGCACCTCCATAGAATCGGAAAAACACTGTTGCCCCATTGCCCACATTGCCCCGAGGTTGAGGAGACTGTCCCACACTTCCTACTAGATTATCAGCACTATCATCAGGCACGTCACACCCTTGCAGGCGCACTTGGCCACAAAGCTTCCTCTCTCCCATACCTTCTATCTGACCCGGAGGCCACATCTCATCTCATACACTTTGTTAATGCCACTGGCCGTCTATGCTCAATGTTCGGTGAGGTACCTCTGCCTCGCAAACCTCCAGACTGAATCAATGCTTGTTTTACAGATTCGTGATCATTGTTACAACATGTTCAATGCCGATAACACACTCCTCACTCAATCTCTCCTCTTTTGACTCCTCACCCGCACACATGGAAACCAATCAACCCTCAAGCGGCATCAGCCAGATGAAAGGATAAAGGCCATCAATGCACTCATATGGCTTACCCTTCATCCCCACCTAGGAACACACCTGCATCCCTTCTAGTTTCCTGTACCAGCTCGCTTCATGCAACCGAGTATGCGTATAGATGCCTTCATGATAGCAATTACATGTATGTACTTATAAAGTCATCTCATCTTAGCGGGTGGCACGTCTAAAACGGCCGGCGGGAACGGTGGACTGGTGGGGTACGCCTTACACCAGGGCATTCGTGCACCCAGAGATGTGTTCGGGACACTGGAGGTCTTGTAGACTAGACTGTATTGTCCTACATAGAGTACATCTCTCAAAGGGACAGGAATGCAATTTAGGTCGGCCTCCGACAATGGGAGTGCAACTCCATTATGATCCAGCACAACACGACTCTGGAATGGATGCCAGAGACACAAATGGTCCTTTGCAAGACAGTGTGGTCTCAGAGGCGATCAAAGAGGAGTGAGCATGGGGGTATAAGGACGAGGATGGGCAGTTAAAGTGGCAGGTGATGCGAAGGGTTGAGGGACACAAAAAAGTGAATGATTATTCATTCCAACTATCTTGGAACCTCCAGAGTTCCTTGTCGTAGTTCTAGTCTGTTGTCCTGTTGACCAACACATCAGAATTTGAGTCCTGCTGTCGAAGGGCGGCATCAAGCGGGGAACAGAGATCATCATGTCAAGGGAAGATGTTGCTGATGAGGTGGGAGAGCGAAGCAGGAAGCTCGATGGGGGGAAGGAGTTCTGTCGATGAAAATCTCCCTTGAGAGGGGGTGTCTGCTGGGTTGTCGCGACTGGGAATGTATGATAAGTGGAACGAGGTATTGGGACTGAGAGGCTCGAGCAGAGTGAGGATCTGACAAAAGACGCAGTTTGTGGCCCAGTTTCTACTCCGTCCATTCTTCCACCCATCGACGACTCTGAGGTTGTCACAGTGGACATGAAAGTGCTGACCAGAGGTGGGGATTCCAAGCCGAATGATGCACCGGATGAGCATCTCGAATCTGACAGCCTCGGCCCACCCAATGTCCTTCTCTCCATCGAGAGTGCACCATCCTGGTAACAAAGACCAAGCACGCCAAAACCCATGGATAACAACTGCGATTCTGACGCCAGACCTGGCATCAAAATAAGCATGTGCATTGAAGATGTGGAAGGGTTGGGGGATGGGTCAATGGAGCATGGGTTTGGAGAGCAGCACAGTCCACCAGGAAAGATCGTCGACAAGGTGTTGGACGGAGTGATGTGGCACAAAAGGACGCGCACTGGAGATACTGAGCATTAATTCCAAGGAGGTGAAATAGGCACAACCTTGGGGAACCACGAGGCTGGCATGTAGCAACTTTCCATAGAGACGTTGTACTTCAATGAGCACATGTGTTGGCTGTATGAGCCAGGTAGCGATAGCTGCAAGGTACTTTGTCTTCTTTGCATCTGCCAGTACAATGGTAAGCTAAATAATGTTCCAAAGAAGACCAATGAAGATGGCTTTGTATGTGAAAGGCATGTCTTTTTTGGGTTCCTAGGGAATTCCCATATCGATAGAGGAGCAGTTGATGTCACTAAAATTGGAAGAGAAATGATGATCAGCATCAGAGTGAGAAGATATGCGTGAGAGATTCAATATTGGGAATCTACAATCTTCTCCAAAAACTTCTGAGGTACCGTCTTCGAAGACGGTACCCTCAAACCAAAGTCTACCTCCAGACTGGTGAAAGGTGCTAGGTAATAAAGAAGTATGTAGAGAGTGACAATATGAATTGTAACTAGTAATGTGTTGTCATTCAATGCAAAAGAACAGATGATCATTCACCCATTTTGTGAGCGGAATGAGTCCAGCCACCTGTAGCAGGTCTGCTCCAGCATCAGCCACATAACCATAAGCTCCAGCGGAGGGCCCCATACCAAACGATGTGCAAGTATTGACACAAAAGGCATCATCATCAATACGAATGACCATAGCTGACCACTGCGAAGGTAACAAAGGAATTGTACGGTATGCTTCAGCAACATCTCGAGTTGCCGCTTGAGATCCTGGTGGGAGATTTTGAATGATAGAACAAACAGTATGGAATGTACCCCAAGTGCATGGAAAGTCGTCAGAGTCCACGTGAGAGTTGATGGAAAGACAAGGAGTTGAAGGAGAAGGTGAATAGGGATAGGAGACATTTTGAATAACACGAAATTTGCCGGGCTTCCCTGACTTTGGAATGATGGACACCGGAGATGTTTGAAATTCTCCCATAAGAGAGTGTAAACTCGAGTGCATGAAAGGTCCGACATATCGCCCTGTGTCAAGTTCTCTCTTGATGATGGCCTTAAAGGCTGTCCGATGTTGTAAGAGCAATGGGTGATTAGGTGGTATCTGAGAGGTGGAAAGCTGCGGTAGATGTAAGTCAAAACTGGATCTGAGCCCGCAATGATCTTGTCATAATGTGCCAAAAGGCCGTGCTTCTGGAGCAAGCTTTCCCAAATGTCCGCATTATAAGGGCATACTGGCAGTAGACGCCTGAGTGTGAGCGCAGTACTGGGCTCCATGGGAGTGCGACAGGCAATTGGAACAGAGATGTCGTTTGTTGTGAGAACACATTGAACAGCTTTTTCCTTGTTGCTGATCGACACAGAGAGGCTTGTCTGTGCTGCGCATGAGTAGTTGGTGGTGAACATGTTTGCTGACCATTGGGACAGAGTTGTCCCAGATACGATCAGCTGAACACTCGATGAAGGAATGATTGTTTTGCCCAAGACAAATGGCACACACGGCTGGAGGACGTTGCCCATGTGCGCCACTGGAAAAACCCGAGGTAACTTTGCTCAATTTGTCAGAATGAGGGTACTTGGTGCGATCTGAAGTTGAGGCAGTGCACTGCTGCTCAGTGGGTGTACCCCGCCGTTCATGGGTAGCGTGAGCGGAACTCTGACCACCACATCTAGGTCAACCCTGAGAGGTTTCCTCACTGTACACGGTGTAAAAGAAAGATGTGGGCTGGGCAAGTACAGGGGAGCAGTATGTTCAGCCCAAGGGCTTCTGATGAGGCCAGAGCTCAGGAGGAAAGTGAAAGTGATGCAAACAACAGCAGATAGTAATTCCTGGACAGCAGGTAGGAAGTGGGGAATCTAATACCAGGAGTTTACAATAAAACCACAGCCTGTAACTACCTATTGGAGGCATCAGGCATACTGGGATAGCAAAACTGGGAGTATTCGGTAGAAACTGTGTGGGGTTTGGAGTGCAGGTGTCAGGGTACTAGGTGAAGTCAAAACATGATTAGGTAAGCAGCAAAAGTGCGAACCTATTTTGAGGAAATGACTGTAAATAAAGGTGTAACAAAATAGGCTAATATGAGCTCAGCCGGAGGCCAAGTGCTACAGTGGCGTAAGGAATACCCTGCATGCACTGAGGATTCGAGCAACATGCAATGTAAGGCAAGGTGTAATGCATGTTGCAAAGGCAAGAGTGAACACGCAGAAAGTGAAGGAAGGAAGGGTACCGCAAGGCCAATGCATGCAATGCACAATGCACAACACAGATTGCATAACACAAAAGGCGGTGGACAATGATGTATAGTGAATACAAGTTTTTAGAAAACAAACAAGGTGTGATGAATGTTAGCAAGTGCCTACAGATGAAAAGGGTGAACACTGACCTTGAGATCATATTCCTGATTCACTTGCTCTCGTTCAGCATGGTAAAGCTCATCATAGACACTAGACAGCTCCGTGGCATCAATGGTAGAGATATTCCAGGCACCGAAGGGCTGCGGAATGGCTTGGTGCCATGCTCGGTGTTGCTACTCCTGATATGTGAGTAGAGCATGCATCTCCAGTACATTGTCCGAAGTCCAGTACTTATGTAACATTAAGGCGCTGAAGAAGTTGGCTAACATAATCACTCGGGAGTTAGGCCAACCACATTGTTTGAGGGAGGCAATCAAGTGTGGCACTGCACGAGAGAAATCAAGTGAAGATAAGAGGTGATCAGGAATTACTCCAGCGGCTGGGCGAGCGGCACTGGCCGAGATCCAGGTAGTGGATCCATCAATGCCTGCCGTTGCAACCATGCTGTCATCATCCGAAGTACGATAGTTCATCTTTGCATCAGCGAGACCTTTGTTGGTCCAATAGTATAGTTCCACAAATTGTGCTTTGTCAAGTTTGCATAAGGCGAAATCAGCAACAAGAACTTCGTCTGTGGCCCACTTGGGGCATAAATGATCTGGGATGGGAATGAGATGAATACAATTTTTCTTCCTGTCTTCCTCAGCGAGAATGGCATCATGTGCTTTTTGGGTGAGGAGATGCTGCTCGGTAGCTTCGTCGAGTAAGCATTGTTGGTCTGCTGTTTCCAATGTGTTGGCATCTAGTTGTGCTTGCCATTGCACTTTTAGAGCAGTGTTTGTGGCCATCCAAAAATCCTGTAACGTGTTGGCTGCTTGTGCGTCATCCATAGTGTGATTTAGCAGTGGGGTGCGACAAGCTTGAAAAACTGCGGATAAAAAATCTGGACACTGTTGTAGATTAGGATCAGCTACAAGCCTGTTCATGTTGTAGTAGATTCGTTTTGATTTGAGATATCAATGTTTAAAGAGCAAAGACTAGAGAAAAATGATTGATATATGAGCGCTTGCGCCAAGCTGGTGGTAGCGAGAAGAAAAGAAAGCTCTCCTAACCTTAATCAGACCCTACATAGACTTTGTTTGTTGCACATGCTTGTGCCTCACACTTACATAAAACTGGACTCATAGCTGGTTATAGATATGTAATGTATGGCGCAGCCCAGCTAATGTAGCCGCAGTTATCTGTTTTCAGCCAGCTCAAGCCAACTTTAAAATTAGATTAGACACATGATGGCAAACAGAGGACGATCTCAGTGGCAGAGCCTGTCGAGTTATGAGCAGACGAAGGCCAATGAATCTGACGGATGAGGTACGAGCACATGCTAAAGCGGAAATGGACGAGCGCACATTGACAGCGGCTCGTGCCCTCCCTTATTTTTTGTGTCTTTGATTAATATATCCTCCTACTCGTGTTGCCTTATTTTTTGTGTCTTTGATTAATATATCCTCCTACTCGTGTTGCCTTATAGCTAGAGCCGATAATTAGACACATCTCAGTCTTGTCACAAGTACCGAGATGTGAGTACAATTAGTTGCACAACGAGAACATAGCTAACATCTTTCATAGTGTTCGTTCTATTAGGTACATATACCAAATATACACTGAGTCTTGTCACAAGTACTGAGATTGTTCGTTCTATTAGCTCCCTCCGAATTGTCCACTTGCCTCTAAGTTCTACAGAGCCATGTGTATGTGTGTTGATCAATGGGACCAAGTACAGCTAGCTTCCCATGCGCTACTGAAGATGCTGAAAGTGTCCATGGGTTGGGTGAAAGTATGTAAGGAGTGGATGTCAATATCAGAAGGGTGGTGATTGTGCCCGAGGAGTACTAAGTGCAGATATGAGTGCAAAAAAAGGAAGATACTTGATCACAATGACCTCTCCATCCATCTGCTTATTTGAGTGCTGTGTATATGAGGGATTTATCGGATGGATGAGACACGATCCATGACAGATGGTATGCAACGGGGGTTCAAGCGAGGAGATCAAGTGTTGGAGATCCTGTCGATGGTGTTGGATCAAAGGATAACATGTGAATCAAGTCAGTGTATGAGGCAACAAGGGAGGTGAATGCACATATGTAAAGAGATAGATCCTTGATAGAAGGGTTTGATATTTGATGGACTATGGGATTTCATGTACTGCATTGGCCATTTGGTCGTCCTCTGCATCGAAATTGTCTCCTAGGATCTTGTCCAAGGGAAGTTCAATAGTTGGACAAAAGATGCTAAAGCCAGTAGCACAGCCACCACTGATGCCTTTATGGTAGCTCATAGGGTTTGTGAGGGTGGGCATGAGCATGAGCGTTTGACAGCTTGTTGATGAATGAGGTCAGTGGAAGTGTTCCGTTTAAAGTCTGGTGTGGTGGATGGTTGACCGTAAGCGATGTTATACTCTATACTGGAGTTGAAGAGAACAGGGTCTTGAGGGACTGTGACGATTGTGTGACAGAGGCTTGGAAGTGTTACTGTCGAGATGTCTTGTCCATCGATGAGGATATGACCTTGTCCAGGTTGGAGGTCATAGAAATGATAGAGGAGGCACAAAATTTCTCAGTGTGCACGGGGCTTTGTTTGATTGTGCAGTATACACCACTGAGGTTCGAGAGAGGGAAAGAAAACACGACATGAAACAGATGAAGCACCCGGGGTTGGGACAGGCACGGAACAATTCTCTTAGCATCTGTACGCCATCATCAAGATTGAAACCAGCTGCAAGGGAGAAGTCAAGAAGATGTGTTTGAGAGAAAAAATGAGTGAATGATTGAAATCAAGCTATCAGTGAACATAAGTCCAGAAGGACGTAAGATATTAGCAGGAAAACAAAAAATGATGAAAAAAAGAGAGAAAAGTTATTATGGCATTCAATAGACGGTGGCAGCATCCTCAACATCGTCACACTCCTGGTCTGTGATAACTTTGAGAAGTGTCTCATGTGAGCTACTGCCACCTGAAACTCTACTAATGTTAAGTGTTGAAAGCTTGTCAGTCTCTGTGTCACATAGTAGTTCGTATTCCATGTCTGGTTGTGATGCGGCCCATCCTTTGGTGAAGTTGAGTCTCTTTTTTTTCAGGAAGAACTTGACAATTTGTAGCACCTCCATCAGCACTGGGCTGAGGCGGTTACACTTCTGTGTGTTGGTCTCACTGCTTGATGAAACACGCGCTCACAGGGGATGGCAGATGCCTGTATCAGGAGATAGTCCAAAGCAATTGCATAGACAGTTGGAAACATGGCGTGAGAGGCCTGGTTAACAATTCATAGTCAGTAATGAAAGGTCTAACACGAGGAGATAGAAAGATCTTACGGTCCAAAATGAGAGAATATTTGTTCCATTGGGGCTGTGAGTAGCGGTGCTATAAGCATTGAACACCTGAATGACCATTTGGGTGCCTTCATCACAACCCAATGGTGAGTCCACCTCAGGAAGTCCATAGTGGCGTGACCCTAGCGTGTGTGACTGTCACTGTACTGCTTGTATAGTTGGTGCAGAGTCGGAAGCCTGGGTCCCCCTCTTGGTATGCATCTGCATAACACATTAGTTTAATGTGTGCTGCTATTAGTGAAAGACATACAAGGTTAATGATAAAGTTCTTGGCATTCCAAGTCTGCTGTTGGTCCCAATGATGTTCCATCCATGACATCCACGAAGCAGGATCAATGACTATAGAGGGACAGACGACTCAGCGATGAGAACCAAACTCTTGTCAGAATACACAGGACTAACACATGGAGACTGCATAAGCATTGGTGGCACCCATCCGATCATCATATTTATCCACCCACAGCAAACCTATGTCAATCAGAGGTGTGAAGTGTGGAAATTTCTTCGCTATGTGATCCTACCACTGAATCAATAGTTCAAAGGTTGGAACTGCACCACTGAGCATAGGAGTACTGTTGCTTGACATGGCCTGTTGAGCAGCATGTGGTACCTAAATCACACAGTAAAATGGATCATATATTTCAAACACATTAGCACTGACCTCTAAAATCACCTCGAGATCCTATAGAAAGTGCCACTTCATGGGAGTTAATTTCTTGTCAGTGATCAGGCATTGATTCAGGTTTGCAAAGAACAAGTCCATGGCCTTGTCACTATTAGTCCATGACAGATGATTGGTGTAGTGTAAAAGCAAAATACAAGTTCACGCGGGTCTGTAACAATCAGACACTCTCAGATTGTGCACATGAAGGCAAACATCTGAGTATATTCACCTGTGACAATCAGACACTCTGCTCGAAGTAAGTAAAGGTGAATATAAGTATAAACTAGGTATCTTACCTCAGATCGTGCACGCGAAGGCAAATGTCTGAGGTAATGGCTCGAATACGTAGTAGCTTAAATAGAATCAATGATCTTGTAAGTAGATGAGACAAAAGACAATATGAAATGGTGCTGGCCATAGCAGACAATAGATTTAGTAGGTACAATACGAAAGAAAAAGACAAGAGCATAGATGTGAGAACATACGTGTCGCTGGACAATGAATTATATGGCAAACAAGAGCGAACAAGGATGCGCTCGGCTGCGGGCGCACTTGCTATTCCAACACTCCCCCTCAAGGTGAATGCAGTCCGAGTTTGACTGCAAAATGTTTGACTTTCGGCGACAGCAGGGCCTTAGTCAGGGTATCGGCGATCATATCTGCGGTAGGACAATAAATGAGGCGGAGCTTCCCATTGTCGATAATCCAGTGGATGAAGTGAAAATGAATATCAATGTGTTTGGTTCTGGCGTGGTACTGGTGGTCTTTTGTAAGTGCGATGGCTGACTGATTGTTGGAGAAAAGTGTGATGGGCTCCATGAACAGTGCGAAAATCTGGCCAATGAAAGAGCGGAGCCATAATGCTTCTTTTGCTGCGTGTGTTGCAGCCACATACTCGCTCTCGGTGGTTGAGAGAGAGATGATGTCCTGGCGTTTAGACGACCACGAGACAGTGCCTCCGTCAATCAAAAATGTGTACCCAGAAACAGCTCTCCTATCCTCGCCCATACTCCCATCAGCATCTGCGTATCCTGTCAATGCACTCTCAACTCCCCCATAGGTTAACTTCAGAGTGGTCGTTCCCAGAAGATAACAGTAGATTCTTCGTACGGCGTCCCAGTGCACTTGCCCTGGGTTGCTTGAGAAACGAGATACAGTAGTCACGGCATAGGAAATATCGGGACAAGTGCCGAGAGAGGCGTACATAAGTGATCCGACAGCCTCGTGGTAAGGGACATGGTGCATGGTGGCATATTCTGCGCCAGTGGATGGAGATTGCCTGGAGTGAAGTTTCGTGCTGGGTTCCATAGGGTTGGATACTGGTTTCAGCTCTTCAAAATTGAAGCGACGTATGATGGAGTCGAGATAGGCTTTTTGTGACAAGGAAAGTGTACGGTTGTCACGGTTGCAGGTGACTTCGATACCCAGGAGCCAATGCAGCTCTCCCAAATCGGTGACTTCAACGAAGGTGCGTATTTTGTCCTTTAGCTTGGTGATAAGCTCCATTGAAGACGCTGCAATGGTGCAGTCATCGACGTGCACGATGACAACAGTTAGTTCGTCGGATGTGGAGCATGAGAAGAACACAGCTTGGTCAACATCGCATTGTGTAAGTCCAATCTTATCCACCAATATCTCCACTAACTTCTGATACCATCTTCTTCCGCTCTGCTTCAGTCCATATAAAGTCTTTCGCAGCCAACAGACCTTTGTCGAGTGTTCCTTTGACTTGAAACCGGGAGGCTGGCGCATATAAATAACTTCTTTACCGGTGAGTTCTCCGTTCAAATACGCTCCCTTGATATCGATTTGATGGAGTTCTAGGTCCAATCGAGCAGCGAGTGCGAGAGTCGTTCGGATAGAAGAAAGGTTGGCTACTGGGGCATAGGTGTCGAAATAGTTGACACCGGGGACTTGTGAGTATCCTTGCGCAACGAGTCTCGCTTTATGATGGACTATATTTCCAGCGGCATCTTTCTTCGCTTGGAAAACCCACTTCGATCCTACCAGGTTTGCTCCTGCAGGGAGTTCAGCAAGCTCCCATGTACCGGCCGTTTGCAGGGTAGCCAGCTCCTCAAGAATGCCTGCTTCCCATTGTGCCCAATCAGGGCGCCGCTTAGCTTCAGCTAGTGAGGTAGGCTCGAGTGCTTCTGCGTCAGCTGTAAATTGGACTAATGACAGGGCAAGCTCAGCTGGATCATCATCCTCGAGCAAAGCCATCAGCTGCTCAGCATTACGCTCCCCCTCAAACACGGCATTCTCCTCGATGACAACCAGCAGTGGGAAACTGGGTAACTGGATGCCCTTAGGTATGGTACCATTTCCGTCGATGATGTCGAGTACGCGCTGACTTGGCTTCCTTACTCGTTTAGCGATCATTTCTAGCGCTGGTGAGGTTGGTGGGATGGGGATCCTAGAGGGTGGTGGGCATTTTGGAGTCTGAGGAGCTTGTATTGGTTTGCTGGGTACTGCTGCGGGAATCTGTGCAGGAGGTAAGTTGGTTTGTGTCGTTATCATCGCATTGGGAATTGAGTCTTCCTCCCCCTTGTGAGGTAACGACGCGGTATTGTCAGCATTTCAATGGACATTTCGCTCGACAGTGACCCTGCGTCTTGCAGGCCAGAATACTCTACAACTGTTCTCGCTGGCATCGTCTATGCCGACCCATCGACCTTCCTCCACTCATCCTCCCAGCTTATTGCCATCTTCAATGCGGACCCATACTTTGGAGCCCCAGGGTCGAGCACGACTGATGTCGGGCGTCTTTCCGGTAGCTGCCTCAAGTGGGGTTCCCCCATCAAGGGCCTTAGTTGGTGTACGGTTTTTCAACCAGATGGCGTGACGGACGGCTTCCCCCCACAAGGTACATGGGAGCCCACTGTCATGCAACATTGCACGGACCTTTTCCAACAGGGTGCGATTTAGTCTCTCGGCTACTCCATTGTGCTGCAGGGTGTCGTGAACAGTGAGCTTCTGCTTTGTCCCAGTGGCAGCGAGGTGCATGGTGAAGGCTTTGCTTAGGTACTCGCCCCCTCGATCAGAGTGAAGTGTCTTTACCCGGGCGTTGTGTTGGGTCTGACACCACACTTCGAAACCCTTATATGCCTCAAAGGCATCGCTCTTTTTGCAGAGGAGGTGAAGGTACATGAGTCGAGTTTTGTTGTCAGTGAAACTGATGTAGTACATGCGCCCACCAAGTGTGGCGACTGGCGCAGGTCCCCAGAGGTCGGTATGGACCTCTTCGGCGAACTCGCTAGCCCGTTCCCCTTCTCTGACTTTTTTGACGGGTTTTCGTGTGGCTTTAGCATATACACACGACTCACAAAAGGTTGGTTCTCCTGACAAGAGATCCACTTTGATTCCTGAGACTAACCCATGCTCAGTGAGTCGACGAGCAGCGCTTGGGGCAATGTGTCCCATGCGTCTGTGTAATTCCATGACGGTTACCGTTTCCATGGCAGCATGTACGCTTCCACTGCCATCGTTGTGAACGATGTGATACAACCCCCGGGCCGTTTTAGGGATTTGCCCAACAACCTCTTCTGATGGGTCACGAAGGGTGCACTGTCCATCTGCAAAGGTGGCTGAATAGCCAAGCTCGTCAAGTTGTCTGATGGAAACGAGAGTATATCCGACTTCGGGCGAGTAAAGAACTTCGGTGAGTCGTAACTTTGACGCATCAACGCCGTTGGGGACTTCAATGACCATTTCTCCAGTTCCAACAGTGTTGAAAGATTGTTTATTGGCTGCTGTGAAGGGTTTAGGAGGAATTGGAGACAGGGTGTCAAAACGCTCCTTATATGGGGAGATGTGGCGCGTGGAACCCAAGTCATAAAGTTCGACAACAGGTGCGTCATTTCTGGGTCCATCATTGGCTTGGGCTACAAGCTCATCGTCACTGCTTATACTGCCGACAGAGGTCCAGTCTGGGTCGTCTAAGGAGGCAGTGTCATCTCCTACTTCGGAGAAAAAGTCTCCATCATATGACGACATGCCAGTCATGGCGTCATTGTCGTTCAAGGATTCGGAGAGGGTAAGGAGATCTGGAACTGAACTTTTCTCACTGACAGAGCTTTCAGTGTCGAGATCAGACAGCTCATCTATGGCAAAGATGCCATCACTCTCCGAATCGGAGTCTGCAGCAATGTTTGCAGATCTGTTAGTTCGGTGAGTAGTGCCATTGGATTTGTCTGGCGTGGGGCACTGATTTTTAAAGTGCTCGCGGGACCCGCAATTCCAACAAGGGGGACGTGGCCTTCCTGTTCCTCACATTGGGGTCAGCAATATTTAAGAGTGCTTTACATGTTGTACAAAATGTGAAGACAATACTTCAAACTTTGAGCGGTCAAAAACTTCATGTATTTGTAGACATTTTCACCTTGATTAAGTAACAAATTAAGTAACAAATATATAAATTGGCATAAATGTCTAGCTTAACTTGAAATTTTGGCGGTCAAAGTTTTGTCAAACATTAAAACCCAGTTCAAACTTCAAGTTTAGCAGAGAAACTTGAAGTTTGAACTGGGTTTTAATGTTTGACAAAACTTTGACCGCCAAAATTTCAAGTTAAGCTAGACATTTATGCCAATTTATATATTTGTTACTTAATTTGTTACTTAATCAAGGTGAAAATGTCTACAAATACATGAAGTTTTTGACCACTCAAAGTTTGAAGTATTGTCTTCACATTTTGTACAACATGTAAAGCACTCTTAAATATTGCTGACCCCAATGTGCCTGTTCCACCTCGATGGCTTCCTCTATTTCCTCCCCTGAAGGCACGGCCTCGAGGCGTCGAGTCCATGACTCCCATGGCTTCATCAGGGCCCTTGGCGTGATTGCGAGCTATGCGACCATCCTTTCAGTTTCGGCGCTCTGATTCCTCGATGATTAGGGAGATGAGGATATCGGGAGCGATGGTCTGAGTGGTACTGTAGAGTCGGGCGGTTGCGAGTTGCCCGGACGCAAAGCTGGCAAGGTGATTGGGGAGAGACTGGATAATGGTGGACCAGTAATCTTTTTCTTCTATTTGAACTCCTACTGCTGACAGCTCATCACATTTAGTATGCAGTTCGTCGAGGAACGTGCATACGTCACCCCCGGCAGGGCACTTGGACTCCAAGAATTTTGTTCGGAGGTCGGTCTGCGCATAAGCACCTTTTTCGGTGTACTCGCGCACGATCTCCTTCCACATAGCGACAACGTCGGGTAGATTCCATACACATAACATGGTGGAGTCAGGGATGCGCTGGGTAAGCAGATGTTTTGCAAGATTTTCACTCTTCTGCCACTGAGCAAGTGTGACAGGGTCTGGGGGAGATGTGGTGGTTACTCCTCCGGACGTCGTGGATGGGCCAACAGGTTTGGGGTTGGTCCCGTCGAACTGTTTCCACAGCTCCTTGGCTTCAACGGCAATTTGGAAGCGCAAGGAGAATATCACCCAGTTTGTGCCCTTGATATCGAGTTTGGGCACATTGGTAGGTAGAGTGTCTGTAGTGACTGGCACAGTAGTAGACATCTTGAATATACAGCTGTTTCGCAGGAAAACGTGAGACGCAAAGGCTTTAAAGCTCAGGGCTCATAACCTAAAAGCAAAATACAAGTTCGCGCGGGTCTGTAACAATCAGACACTCTGCTCGAAGTAAGTAAAGGTGAATATAAGTATAAACTAGGTATCTTACCTCAGATCGTGCACGCGAAGGCAAATGTCTGAGGTAATGGCTCGAATACGTAGTAGCTTAAATAGAATCAATGATCTTCTAAGTAGATGAGACAAAAGACAATATGAAATGGCGCTGGCCATAGCGGACAATAGATTTAGTAGGTACAATACGAAAGAAAAAGACAAGAGCATAGATGTGAGAACATACGTGTCACTGGACAATGAATTATATGGCAAACAAGAGCGAACAAGGATGTGCTCGGCTGCAGGCGCACTTGCTATTCCAACATAGTGAAGGTTTTCTTACCTGGCGAAGGGTTCGCAAACAATTCAGCATGATGTAGACTGAGTCCCAATGTGTTGGTTCATCAACAAGCAGTTGCACAACAGGCAGCTTAGTAGGTTGACCTGCGTGGTCTAGGAATCATTTGTTCTTGTTACCTGTGAGAATGGTGACTTTGAAACTGTCCCAACACTGGTTCAATATGTGGATTGTGTGCACGAGCACTCTGGCTCGATCAAGGGCTTTAGCATGCAGGGCTTGGACATACACTGTCTTGTTGATGGTCTGACAGCTAACTACCCATGACTTGTCCATGTCTGAAAAGTTAGCGATATGGTACTCGTCAATGATATGTTTGATGCATATGTTGATTATATGGGGGAAGCACAGAATTCAGTGCTCAACAGGATCAAACTCTATCCCATGTTCCTGCAGTAGGTGTGAGTACTCTTGCATGGATGTGTGATTATTGCCAGCATTATTCAAAGTAAAATGACCGGACTAAGTGAATTCAGAGCATGCCATGCAGTACAACTAAAACACTCACTTTCTCAGTTACTTCAGCACAATCAAGGAGGCCCAATATCGATTGCCCTAAGCAGTCTCCTGTGTGACTCCCCAGTGTGTGATTGAAAGCTATCAATGCTGCCTTCAAAATAAGCACAGAACTTTGCTCATCTTTGGCAATCCAGTGGGCAGTGATGTCCATGAATGGGTGGAGGTTAGAGTCTGACCATAGATCAGATGTAAATAAGATCTTTCCCTGCACCACCTAGAAGATTTAAGATATTTTGCGCGACCCTTGAGAACTGTACACTTACCACAAGGTCCCTTTTCAGGACCTCAAAGTACTCGTTAAAAGCCTCAAGGATTAACTCCCAAAATTTTGTACAATGGCAGATGTTGCCATTTAACTTGGGTCACAGAAGACAAATCAAACGTCAGAATTCGGGGACATTCCATGAGGTTTATTGCCTGAAGGCATTATTAAAAATAGCACATAGGAAGTGAACAATAACCCACCTGATCATCTGCCACAACAAACCTCACAAGCTGTTGATGCATCTCATCAACAGTGAAGTTGGGTATCTCATCCTTCAGAGAACCTGACTGCCTGGTTCCAAGCAGTACATCATCATGATTAGGGACGTCTCCAAGTGAATCCATTGTGCAAGACAGATCCCTGAGTCTTTCATGTATCATTGTGACCGTCCATCCTTGCTCAAGAAGAGTGTTTAGAGGCTTGATCTGTATGGGCCAACCATGGCGCCCTGCCTCCTCCAAGTAAAGGATGGTATGATGGCTATATACATGAAAACGAGGACCTGTATTGATTGTGGTACTGCTATATGACGTGACCTTGTATGTTGTGTCAAGTTCATATAGTTGTCTGGTGAAAGATGTAAGAAAAAAAAGAACAGTCACTCGCAAAGTATGCAAACATTACGCCCAGTAGTTGGATGTAATCGGTAAAAGAAATGAACATTACCAGCACCTTTAGCCTTTCTTGTGAGACCACCGGTAGCCAAGAGATCAGTTTGTGTGGGATATGGGTTGTTAATGACCGTCTGAAGCAGGCTAGGACTGTGGGAGCCATAACTCTAGGCGCAGGTGCGTGATCCTCTTCCTCTTCATTGTCATCAGAGATATCATCAAGATTGAAGGTTTCCCCTTCATCAGCCATAGGTTGAGCATGACTGGGGTCAGTGTGGATTGAAGCATTATCCCGATATCTGCAAGGGAGCTGGCGATTTCAACGAGGTTTCATAAGTGCATTTGCAATTGGACCAACAGCAGTGGGGATGGGAACAGCGAGGATGGGAACAGTGGGGATTGGAACAGCAGGGATGGGATATAAACCTTTGTCAGACACTGAAAATGCTGATTTAAACTCAAGCTAACCTTAATCCACAGGGTTGAAAGTTACTCCATTGATAGAGTGGGAGGCCTATGAAAAGGACAGGCTTGCAATTAGTTGAATTGATCGAGTAAAATGAAATTTACCTCACCATTGAGCGAAAGGGCAGTATCATATTTAATGGAATATCCCCCATGCGGCATCCAATGAAGTCATCCAGTGAAAGGGCAGCAACATGTTTGATGGAAAGTTTCCTGGTAGGTGTGCAATGAGGGATCTCGGAGTCTGTCGATAAATGTTCAGTAACTAGTCATTGATCAACATTAACATTACCTTGCACTATGGTCTGTGGGGCTGAATTGCTAGCTATATGTTATATTTGATGAGCTTTGAGGGTAGGATGTTCAGTGATGACTCTGATGAGTCCCTTGCAAGTTGCAAATTCTCATCATGGCATGGTGCAGTCCATGTGCAAAACTATGCCCATTATTCCAGCTTTCTCCGGTCCTTGTGCGCCCCTTTAGAGTCTCAAGTCTCAACTCTCAAGTATATGACACTCCAAATGCCACTTTAATAAGTTGCACGATACAACCGTCAAGTGCGCAATACACGCAGTGTCAAGTGAGTCACGGTCCTGTTGAGTTTGAGAAGGATCATAGTAACACTTTATTAGCATTACTGCAGCATCAAATGTTCATGCGATGAAGTAAAATATTACTACTGCCAATTGTCACGCTGCAAGGCAGATACTATGGTGTAACACCTGCACATTTATTATTTGCACATTCTGCACCTTGCACGGTGTGTGTTTCCCACTCCCAATTTTCTTAATTGAATTTGTGTGTTGTCGTTGTATCAGCTGATTGTTTGTACAGCTAGCAGGCCAATTCATTAGCACCACACTCGGGTATGATGTCTACAAGCACAACACAGACGAGTAAGTCTGTTTCCCGCTATCTTGTCATATCCTTCTCACCTTGTTTCACCTACAGGAGCTTGTGTTCCGTCTCTATTCCAGTTCCTGTTTATTGTGAGAGATATTCCACAGTACATGCATTGACACTGAGTTCTTCAAGCTGGTACAAATATGACGAGACTATGCCAATTGTAACGGCACCTATGTGCCGAGTCCCTGACCCCATTTTTGCACGACCCTCAAACCTTTTCCTTAAGTACATCAACCTGTGTATAAGACAGACAGGATGAACAGATAAATATTCAATGGTACCACCACACTAGCAAATAAATGCCTGAACGATGCGTACACAGAAAACACGACTGTGAGACAAAGGAAGTGAACAGACCCAAAAAAAATAACAATTTCAGATCACCTTGAGAGAAACTTGACTTAGGAGTTTGTGGTATTGCATACTGAGCAAAACTGCTCGCTATGGAAGAATGTTCAGTAATTTATTTTCACGGAAAATGTGACTCAACATACAGGAAACAGTAGCCGTGGCTCATAGCAGTCTTCATGTAAGGTACATTGGCCCTGATCCAGGTATTTGAGCTTGCAGCATCTACAAAGAGTGTGTCTGTATGAAATCAACAACTTGTCAGATAAAGAAATGGTAGGAGCATGAGCAGCTTACAGTATGTTGGTGGACTCTCCACACTGATGTCAGTGGCGTCAGTGAACTTAAGAGTAGCTGGGCTTAATGCTATGCAAAGATAAAGGGAAGTGCTTGTTGACAATGAGAGGAAGGCAAGAAGAGATGAAAGTGATCTGGAGAGAATCATCTTTGATGGTGATCAAGAGCAGCTTGAGTTAGTGAGAAGATATGTACAAGTATACGACTACACATATTCAACAGTGTCATGATTTATCTAGCAGTGAGCTGTTACACAGGCGTAAACTTCCAAAAAAAACAAGCCTCAGTTCATGAGTATGAAGATGAAAGGGAGCACTTACACATGAGTCGATTTATGAAGAGGTGTTGCTTTCAGCGGAGATGAAGGCACTGCCTTAGCCACACTGTGTTCATCGGAGAATGCAGGGGCATGTATGACAGGATCAGACTCACTGAAATCCAGCAAGTATGAAGCTAGTATAGGTAAGGTAGCATGAAGATCATGGAGTAATGAGTGAAGTAGTCATAATCAGGATCCTGTGAGGACACAAGGGAGTGTGTGTAAATGAGAAGACTTGCAAACCCAACAGGGATTCCATGACATAAAACTTCAATGGTAGTGTTTACTTTGCGTTCCAGCATGGTAGAGCTGGAGAGCTTCTTGTGGTCGTCAGTTAACCATGGAAGAGATCCACGCAAGAGATATATCAGTTTATATATCAGCGACTCGATATCATCACGATGACCCATCTCGACTCCCAAATGACTGTTGATCAAGGCGAACGCAGGGGTACCAGTGAGATTTTGGCCTTGGCGAAATGGCACATGGGTTCTAGTCGAAGTGCTGCAGTACTCCTTTGCGATACCAAAGTCGACAATGAAGGTGGTGTGCCTCAAATCATTGAGACCTACCAATATATTCTGTGGTTTAATATCACTGTGCACAAAATTGTGTGAGTGGATATATTCGAGACGTGAGAGCTAGAAAGACGGTGTCAGTTCATTGCAACAACACATTGTAAAGCAACTTACTAGTTGGTCTCCTAGATTCACAACATTGCAAAGGCTGAACTGTCGATTGCATGCAATGAAGAGATTGTGTTTTGATGGCCCAAGGAGGTCGAGAACCAAAGCATAGTAGGTCAACTCTCTACCAAACCACAAGGCACGGGGGATCCCAACTCCACCTGCAAGTTGTTTTAAAATGTTGTTTTCATGCTGCAAAGATGAGTGGTTGATGGTGGGTTCAAGTTTAATAGCAACTGAATCATCCTTTAAGAAGTTTTATGTGTGGTACACAACAGCTAAGCGCAGGTCATATGTTGAATGTGAATCAATATATCATCACCAGGAGAGAATCACATACTGTATGCGCCTGAACCCATAACATCTCCAAGCCTGAATCTGCCATCAACACGGGTAGGGACTTTGTTCATAGTACAAATTACTGTAGAAGCTCAATAGAGAAAATCTAAGCAACACAAGAGGAAATGAGGAAAGGTCTTACCATGTGTTACTAGCTGGCTTGTGCCGGCTTTAATCAGCTCAAGCTGTGGTTCATACATTCCTGGCTTTAGCTGGTTTGCATGGCTGGCCAACACTGCAAACCAGTCCATGTGGCAAATCAGCGGCTTGGCTCACCAGAATTGCCAAACTACCAGTGCATCAGTAGATGCCAAACCTGAGCAGACCCAAACCGAACCGCAGCATTACTAGATGCGAGAGAGAGCAAACAAATTTCGAGATAAGTGAGTTAAGCTGATTAAGGACATTAAGGAATGTATGAATTTCCTGATGTGCATCAGTAAACCAGTGAGACTCAGATATTAGTCAATACTGTTAGATTTTGTAAGCCCAATGCTTCTTTCCAGTACATTACAGTCTGAGTCTCATCAATTTACTGATCAGGCTGAGTATATATGTGAGACTAAAGTGTTGCTCCTGCGACAGAACCTCCAGACACATTCTTCCTCGCATTCAGGAACTTTCTATATGTCAAATAAATATCACAGCGGATCCTCGATCAAATTTCTTCTCCCTGCAGACCACTCGGGAAGCATCTCTCTATACAGTACTGCTAGTCGATACATGTACATGTTCCTGGAAGACAATCGAATTCATGCTAATTTCTGCGTCGGAGTATGCCACGAGTTTGGCATGGTATTTTCGAATGCTCAGGATGAGGCGTGGTCCCAGCACAAACATCTGAATGACCAATAAAATTTGAGAAACACCATCGATTATCTGAGCTCCAATAGAAGTCGAATTCTACAAAAAATGATGAGCAGCGGTTACACACAGATGTCAGAAACAGGTCGGCGCACAAAGATTTTGGGAGAGAGGAAAGCAAGCTGGAAGCAAGAGACACCAACAAAGCTAACATGTGCGGAACTTCAGCAGAAAAATATAACCGTGGTCACATCACAAGTTCACCTTGTAAAATAAAGAACATGAGATTGTATCAGCACTCTGAAACAGTCCCCGATGGTCGATCCTGTTGATGGGCCGAGTCGTCGCAGGTCACGGAAGTGTTTCACAACAATCCAGACTGAAAAGCACAGTGCGAGGGCCTCCCAAACAGTGTTGAGAATCGAAACCATTGAAAACAGAAGCTGCTCGTCCCCTTCATATAGTACATAACCGCACACATATGTGCCAGAAAGTATGAACTCCTCTGGTGTTTGTCCGATGAGCCATCTTCTTCAAGTGACCAAGTAAAGCTCACCCAGTACAATATCGTTGAGTCCTATTACCGTGATCACTCCGCAGGCGATGTTTACAGCCAGGAAGATAATAACAAGGAACATAAGAATTGTTCTAGATCCCTGATACATGGCATGCAACCGAGAAATCATGATGACTTGCATCGTGTCAGTCATGTCAATATCGCAGAGGTATTGCACCTAGGTCACTTACCGCCCAACATGGCAGTCACGATCACAATTGTGCCACTTACTGCGTAGTCCGCGATAGTACCTAAAACTCCCAATTAGTGAACACCATCGCACTAGTATCAAAGACTCCGACTTACACCTATCGAGTCACTATGTTGAGCCAAGTTCAATGGTTGTAATCTCACTCACCCCTACATATGAGTATATTGCTTGGACGGGAATGAGATGGTTGCAGAATACTCACTGTATCTGTCAGCGATACCGATGGCACATACTCTATGTCCCGCTGGTCAGAAATACGAAATACAGCGCACATGAGGCATACCCAGAAGATAGATACTAATTGTCAAAGACGAGCTATTAGCACAGTGCAAAGTTGTTGGTCTCGACACCTACAAAGAAAACGGTATTCCAATGAAGCGTATCTAGAACATTTTGGAGTCAGCACAAGTTTCCCAGCACGTTAAAGCACAACATGAGGTACTAACAATCAAATACAGCACAGTCATGAGAGACCAGCGTTGTCGCTGCCGCGAATTAATTGCATTCTCTTGTTTTCTTCTGATACGGGACTGTTGTCACTCACCCAGATGAGTTCAATCTATGACACCATTCTTAGCGAGTTGGCTGCTCCGACGATGTCATCGACGTACCTCTTGTCTCAGTGTTAAGACTGGAAATATCATGAGAATGTCAGCAATTTTCGAATACTGTCCTGCTCACCCCAATCGTATACTACTATGACGCAGGCGGCAACTGCAAAACCCCAAGTCAACGTTAGATCTAGACATATTGATGCGACAGACCTTCGAAATAGCTGAGAATAATATTCAAGTTGATTTGCGGCCACAAACTGGGATCATTTGAGATGAAGGTCATGTTCGAGGGATGGGTGAAAAGGGATGGGTGTGAGCGAATGGGCAGCGTTCGTGCTAGATATACCACCGTTCAGCGCTCCCTACTCTACGGACATACATTTACATACAGAGGGGATACACATGTACACACATACACACAGTAAATGGTCTAGGACTGTGTCTAATCTGAGAATCGACGTCATTGGCAAATTGCGAAGTTTACATGAAGTTGGAGCGCGTCGGTCTAAGGTAGACAAGCTGTGATAAAAGCCATTACTACCTTCGGTGTCTGCCGAGAATCGAAAAACTCAGTTGGACTTTGTTTGTACACGACAAAGATACTCCAACCCTTTTCACCCACTTGATTGGCCACCCCTTCACGGATACATTATGAACACTGTTCACATTTTGCAATTCATTCAAACCCTTCACCTTGTCTTCGTTCTAAATACGATCGCTTTCGCTATCCGTCTCACGATATAACTCATCTTGCCAATCCTCAGCTCATCCTCGCCCGGCATCAAGTTCAAATTTACATGTAAGTATTACACGTACTCTAGCCAGCACGCTGGCATAGCTATTTGCCACACTCAATGTCATTCCTAGATATCTTCTCTACAGACTTCCGATCTGAGAATGCCTGCCCATGTGCACCCACTCTAATCTGCACGTTCCAATATGGAGTTTGTGCCTAAAAGAATTGGTACAGGTGTTAAAGACGGCTTATTTGTGGCGTCTATTTTTGAACAGCTGTAAGTTGTTTACCCGTTCCACCACTCTCGGCGACATATGCTAGGCTGACCGTCGATACATCAGCACTCATGCGTCTGCTGTCCTCGAGCATAGCTTTCACATATTGTAAGTACTTGCATACTCTCTGTCCTCAATCCTCCTTTCACCTTATGTCGTATCTGGTCCCCCTCTCAGTACCATCAGACTTGGAGCCACGTACGTTCTTCTTGACCCATCGGATGGAAGAAATCACATCTGAGCACTGATGAGTTATCAGCCATGTGGCTTCATGATTCGCAGTATCTATTTGTCTAGACAGTGGAACACCAACGCGCAGAATCAGCGGTCAAGGCACTTTTACTGACTCTCGTTGTATTTCAACAATGGACCAGATTGGTTGCTAGACGGTCCGGATAATTTCCCCTTAGCACTTGGTTCAAGCGCGGGTACTTCGTTCTAGTAGTGATACAACAAGAAATAGCGTTGTCTAGACCTTTCAAATGTACTACTGTCAAATAAATATCACAACGGATGCTCGATCAAATTTCTTCTCCCTGCAGACCACTCGGGAAGCATTTCTCTATACAGTACTGCTAGTAGATCCATGTACATCTTCCTGGAATACAATCGAATTCATGGTAGTTTCTGCGTCGGAGTATGCCACGATTTTGGCATGGTGTTCTCGAATGCTCAGGATGAGGCGTGGTCCCAGCACAAACATCTGAATGACCATAAAAATTTGAAGAGCACTACCGAGTATCGAAATTCCAAGATCTGATTTCTACAGAAATGATGAGCGGTGATTACACGCGGATGTTAGCGACAGGTCGGCGCACCGCGATTTCTGGAGAGAGAGCAGCAAGATGGAGGCAAGAGACACCAACAAAGCTAACATGTACGGAACTTGAGCAGAAAAATATAACCGCATTCACATTACAAGCTCACCTTGCAAAATAAAGTGCGTGAGATTGTATCAGCACTCTGAACCAGTCCCCGATGGTCGATCCTGTCGATGGGCCGAGTTGTCGCAGGTCACGGAAGTGTTTCACAGCAACCCAGACAGAAAGGCACAGTGCGAGGACCTCCCAAACAGTGTTGAGCCCCCAGGCTATTGAAATAAGAAGCCGCTCATCGCTACCAATCCCATAATCGCACGTATGCATGCCAGAGAGTATTAACTCCTCTGGTGTGCCAAATGAGCCGTGGCCTTCAAGTCAACAAGTAAAGCTTACCCATTACGGTCTCGTGGAGTGCTATTGCCACGATTACTGCGCAAAATATGTTTACAGCCAGGAAGATAATAACAAGGAACATAAGCATCTTTCTAGATCCCTGATACATGGCATGCAACCGAGAAATCATGATGACTTGCATCGTGTGTCAGTCAGGTCAATCTCGCAGAGGCATTGGGTCAACTTACCACCCAACATGTCAGTCAAAATCACAATTGAGCCATTTACTGCGTAGTCCGTGATGGCACCTAAAACACCCAATTAGTGAATACCATCGCACTAGTATCAAAGACTCCGACTTACACCTATTGAGTCATTATGTTGAGCCAAGTTCAATGGTTGTAATCTCACTCACCCCTATATATGAGTATATTGCTTGGACGGGTATAAGATGGTTGCAGAATACTCACTCCATCTGTCAGCGATACCGATGGCATATATTCTGTGTATCGCCGGTCAGAAAAATGGAACGCAGCGCATATAAAACATACGTAGAACAGAGATACTAGTTATCAGAGATGACTCATTAGCAAAGTGCGAAGATGTTGATCTCTATACATACACAGAATATGGTATTCCAATATAGCGTATCTAGATCATTTTGGAGTCAGCACAAGTTGCTCACCACGCTCAAGCACAACATGAGGGACTAACAATTAAATACAGCACGGTAATGAGAGACCAGTGTTTTCTCTGCAGCGAATTGATTGCATTCTTCTGATACGGAACTCTTGTCACTCACCCAGATGAGTTCAATCTATGACACCATTCTTAGCAAGTTGGCTGCTCCGGCGATGACATAGACGTACCTCTCCGCTGAGTGTTAAGACTGGAAATATCATGAGAATATCAGCGATTTTCGAATACTGTCCTACTCACCCCAATCGTATACCATCACGACGACCGCGGCAACTGTGAAACTGCACGTCAATGTTAGATCTAGATATCTTGATGCGACAAACCTGTCCAATAGCTCAAAAAAACATTCGAATTGACATGCGGCCAGTAACTGGGATCATTTGAGATGAAGGTCATGTTCGAGGGATGGGTGTGAGCGAATGCCCAGTGTTCGTGCTAGATATATTGCCGCCCAGTCAAATCGTACTCCACGGACATACATTTACATACAGAGGGGATACACACGTACACACATACATACAGCAAATGGTTGAGGACCGCATCTAATCTAAGAATCGACGTCATTGGCAAATGACATGTTGGAGCGTTAGTCCAAGGTAGAGAAGCTGTTTACCTTCGGTGTTTGCCGAGAATCGAAAAATGAATTCTCAGTTGGACTTTGTTTGTACGTCACAAAGATATCCAACCCTTTTCACTCGACAGAAAGGGCTCGACTCATAAGTAGGCAGAGAAAACTATTGGTCTCCCAGGTACGCCTTGAACTGAACATATATGTTCTTCTGTCAATTCGCTAGATAATAAAACTTGGAATGCTAACAGAATCGGCGATCTAGTTTTAGACTAATAGACCTTCTCAACACAGCTCGTGTCGTCGTCCCTTGTACAAAAGTGCGTCTTCCAGGATTCATATGCCTGACCTAACCTGGCATCTACTCTCGGCAATTCTTCCTTCTCGGAACTACCTTGTCCGTCACGCGGATTGTCGAACATGCGTTTCCCTCAACTTCTCGCCATCAAAACACCTCGCGTCGTTCAAGTGACCATTTGCCTGCCAATTGGTGTATGTATGCATGCAAGTTTGTATCTCGTTAGTGTTTTACTTTGATAGTCGTGCTTAGCAGGGGCTTCAGTAGACCTCATCTCGAGCTTGTCATGCTCATTCGCTACAGCCGAGCGATGAGTCCGCGGGATTCCTTCATTTTCCTTCTCCGTGGCCCGAATGGATAGATATCAGCCAGGTGGGCTTCACACTTCACAGTCACTTTTTCATCATTTCAGTGCGAAACTTCGAAACCCGGTAGAATCACCCGTCTGGGCACCTGCACAAATTATCGTCGTATCTGGCATCAAGTACCATGGGGATCAAGGACCCTGTCAGTTGCTAGACGTTGAAACCGCCAGCTTTGCACTCTGATGAAGATGCTCTGCCTCCTGGCTATGTATAACAAGTGTATGCGTTCTATGTACTCTCGGACCCTGAACCTCCTGAGACCTTGACCTTTGTCTCTACGCACTCTAGGTCTCTGCACTCGCCCCGCACTGGCTCTAGCTCTCCTTTCCTGCTAACTCTGCACCCTTCCTAGCCCTGCTCTTTTGCTAACGCCGGCTCCGCAAAACCTTGCTCGAGCTCCCCATTGTAACATATTCCAGCTCACCGCTTGGTGCAAGCATAGGTAAGTAGCTACTCCGTTCCTGATGCCGACCTAACTAACCTTTCAAATATACTTCAAAACACCATATATTAAATAAATAACACGACGGATTCTCCACCAATTTCTTCCCCCCTGCAGACGACTCGGCAAGCATTTCCCTACACAGTACTGCTAGTCGATACATGTACATGCTCCAGGAAGATAATCGTATTCATGGTAATTTCTGCGTCGGAGCATTCCACAAGTTCGGCGTGGTATTCTCGAACACTAAGGATGAGGCGTGGTCCCAGCACAAACATCTGCACGACCGATAAAATTTGAACAGCACCATCGAGTACCTGATCTCCAATAGAATTCGCATTCTATAGAAATGATGAGCAGTGGTTACACGCAGATGTCAGCCACAGGTCAGCGCACCAAATTTGGAGAGAGATAAACAAGCTGGATGCAAGAGACACCAACAAAGCTAACATGTGCGGAACTTTAGCAGAAAAATATAATCGCATCCATATTATAAGCTCACCTTGCAAAATAGAGAACGTGAGATTGTATCAGCACTTTGAAACAGTCCACGATCTTGGATCCTGTCGAGAGGCCGAGTCGTCGCATGTCACGGAAGTGTTTCACAGCAATCCAGACTGAAAGACACAGTACGAGGACCTCCCAAACACTGTTGAGGACCGAAATCATTGAAATAAGCAGCGGGTCGTTCCCTTCCAATTCATAACTGCACATATGCGCGCCAGAGATTATCAGCTCCCCTGGTGTTTATCCAATAAGCCCTGTTCTTGAAGTCAACAAGTAAAGCTTACCTCCTACGAGGTACTTGAGGGCTATTACCATGATCACTGCGCAGGCGATGTTTACAGCCAGGAAGATAATAACAAGGAATATAAGCATTGCTCTAGATTCCTGATACATGGCATGCAACCGAGAAATCATGATGACTTGCATCATGTGTCAGTCAGGTCAATATCACAGAGGTATTGCACCTGGGTCACTTACCGCCCAACATGGTAGTCAAGGCTACATTTGTGCCATTCACTGCGTGGTTCGTGATAGTGCCTAAAATTCCCAATCAGTGAACACCATAGCACTGGCATCAAAGACTCTGACTTACACCTATCGAGACATTATGTTGAGCCAAGTTTGATGGTTGGAATCTCACTCACCCCTACATATGAGCGTATTGATTGCATAGGAATGAGATGGGTGCAGAATACTTACTGCATCTGTCAGCGATACCGATGCCATATTTTCTGTGTGCCGCTGGTCAGAAAAATGGAACACAGGCAGCGCATGAGGCATACCCAGAATATTGGTACTAGTTGTCAGAGATGAGCTATTAGCACAGTGTAAAGTTGTTGATCTCGACACATACACAGAAAATGGTATTCCAATATAGCGTATCTAGATCATTTTGGAGTCAGCACAAGTTGCCCACCACGCTAGAGCAGAACATGAGATACTAACAATCAAATACAGCACGGTCATGAGGGACCAGCGTTTTCTCTGCCGCGAATTAATTGCATTCTCTTGTTTTCTTCTAATACGGGACTCTTGTCACTCACCCAGATGAGTTCAATCTATGACACCATTCTCAGCGAGTTGGCTGCTCCGGCGATGACATAGACGTACCTCTTGTCCGAGTGTTAAGACTGAAAATCATGAGAATATCAGCAATTTTCTAACACTATCCTGCTCACCCCAATCGTATACCACCACAACCAGCGCGGCAACTGTGAAACCGCACGTCAACGTTATATCTAGACATCTTGATGCCACAAACCTGTCCAATAGCTCAAAAAAATATTCAAACTGATATCCAGCCAGTAGGTGGGATCATTTGAGACGAAGGTCATGTTCGAGTGATGGGTGTGAGCGAATGGACAGCGTTCGTGCTAGATATGCCCCCAGTCAGATCGTACTCCACGGACATACAGAGGGGATACACATGTACACACATACATACAGGAAATGGTTCTAGACTGACCTGTCATTGGCAAATGACAAATTTTACGTGTTGGAGCGTTGGTCTAAGGTACTCTAGACATATTGCTGTAATAAAAAGTTAATCACTACCTTCGGTGTTTGCCGAGAATCGAAAAATGAACTCACTCTGATCAGTAAGTGTGATGAGCATGAAACAAGTATGTACACACTCTTTCGGCATCATGAGCTCGAGGCGTAACAGCCCCCAATTACTCTTATGGAGCAAGGGTCATTCTGCGGAACTCAGACAATACAATACAAAGCGCACCATGTTGAGTAGCTATACGACATGCATTGGGGGAAATTGCACTGCCAGGAAGCTAATTTCTACTTGATGGCATCGGGTTTCAGTAAACATGTAAGAGACTAAGATTGAAACCCATCGTTGCCGTGTAGGTCGGAGGTCCAGACGTCCAGACGTCCAGCACCAAACAGAGGTAAACGGGTCTCCTTCCCTAAATTTTAATCAAAGTCCGCAGCGCTACCTTCCTGAGTCGGCATTTGCGGAGTCAAAAGATGAACGTTGACGTTCAACAAGCAATGCCGTCACACCTGTGCCAATTTCTTTTGTTACCTCGCTTGGCATCGGTCGACCGGTCATGTAAGACAAGGATCGACCTGCGCGTGAAGCTCGACGGATCGACAGGCCATCGAAACTAGAAGGAACGACTATCGTGAGTGAGGCCCAGTGAAAACTGACTATGACGGGAGGAGTCGTGGTGTGACGATAAGTGATTTTGTCAGCAGCTCGATAGAAAAACATATGAGAACATGATAAGACACGTAGTGAGCGAATCTGCACATTTCAATATATGCGGGGGCGGGTTTCCTCATGCACATAGGTGCTTTTTTAACGTAAAACATATTTGCGCATTTGAACGCATATACTCGTTCCCCTTGCCAGATGGTTGAAAATGTGCGCAAATATGCTCGAATAATATTAGGCACTGTAGCAATGGTGGTACAAAAGTGGTACAAAAAAGCTCAAAAACACATAGCGGCTTGAAAACATGACACGCGCGGACAACGGCTCGAAAGCACTCGAAAACATTGTAGGAAATGTGTATGTCGGATCGTGCTGAATCTAATAGAGACATCCTTCGGAGACAGATTTAGTCCATGTATCAGAAGCGACCTAGTAGATGAGACTTACCTTACGGGAGATTCACTAGTAGAGTTGGCTGTCGCAAACTGCTTGCCCCCCGAGGTCCAGAACATCCAAGAATCGTTGGTAACCTGTTGCAAGCGAACGGTTAAAACAACGTCAACAAACAAAAAAGGTCACGCAACAATAGAGTGGCCTCAGTTTTATATCATCCCGCTGTTCTAAACTCGTGTGGTCAGCGCAATCATACCGTCGGATAAGCGACATGTGAGACACTCACAGGGCAGAACCAGTGGAGGAGAATAGCGAGACCTTTAACTCGGAGGTGGGAATGTGGTGGGGAGGAAGAAGGGTGGGGAGAAAGAAGGGTGGGGAGAAAGAAGGGTGGGACAACAGAAATTTGGCCCCAACAATTTATGTTGCTTTGGGGTGCCGCACGACCTTCGTAGCTTGCACAAGTTGCAATGACATTGATGCAAAGTTTGTGTTTGCGATGTGCAGTTTGCGCTTTGCGATACGGAATTTGTGCTATTACATAGCTTGACACGAAGATGTTATGCAATGCGAACTTTGCAAAGCTAATAAATGACGAAAATATAAGAAATGAGCACACCTGGCACAGTACTAATACGGTAATTCACGTCTCAGCACATATAGACCTCTCCCGTCATAGTCAGTTTTCACTGGGAGTGAGGTACCGATTCCACGCAACAGATGCGACAGGGCCATTCTGTCACAAGCCATCTCAGCTTCCGTGGATCGTGCGCACTTCTTCTGCTTTCAGTATTCGCTACTCTGATCAAGGTATGTTTGCCAGAGTCTAAAATTTCATAATCGCCGTCTCACTGATACTTTTTCAGGTGCGCTCGGTGCCTTCTGTATTGAAGCCCTGATTTTCTTGCTTCCTTATATCACCTGTCTGGACTCGGCAGATCACAAGGATCCTGAACGTTGATCGATGCATGGTCTGGGTGGTCCGGGGAGTGGGGCACTTAGTACTCTTCACATAGTGAATGTGATCAACGTGTGTATCTTCAAAATTCAGATTGTCGTGGTCACTGTAGCGGTTGCTCAAGATCTCTCACAATTGAAGTTCTTTGCATACATGATGTGATTCACTCCATCATGGCTTCCCAGGTACGCCTTGAACCAGACATGTGCGAGTCTAATTCTCTTGATCTAGATAAATAAAAAACTTGGCATCCTGACAGAATCGGCGATCCAATTCCCGATCACATTCGTGTCGCAACTTGACCATTCTAGGCCATCCTTCTTTCATCCGATCGTGCTTCCATTCAGTGTATATGGCTTCACGATTCGCTGCAGTATCTATATGTCCGGACAGTGGAACACCAACGCGCAGAATCATTAATCAGTGGTCAAGGCACTTTTACTGATCCTCGTTATATAACCCTTTTCACCCCCTACTAACCTTCAAAGTTTCACCAGCCTCACGAGCACGCTGGCATAGCTTTGTTCCTTCATTCCTACCCGTCATTTTCGATCGGATAATCCCCGCCCATATGCACCCACGCTGATCTGAGCATTCCAATATCGGACTCTGCACCCCCCAAAAATTAGCACAGGCATATGCATTAGAGACAGCTTATTTAGGGCATCTGTTTTTGACCAGCTGTAAGTTGTTTACTACTCTCGACGACATATGATAGACCCACCATAGATGCAACAGGAAACATCACGATACCTTCAACGAATATCTTCGAATCTTTTGTTTTCTTCGTTTCCCGCATTATAACAGTATACGTATTCAAGTGACCATTTACTTGCCCTATGTAGGAGCGACAGTGATCCATGTTAACGGGTGTATGTGTATGTATGTGTGTATGCATGACTATATTTCGTTCGCTGCTGTACCCTAATGCTTCATTAGTAGTTTGATAGGTACGTTCAGGCCTTCTTGCTTGAACCCCCGACGTTCTGATTCTCCACTCCCCACTCAGCAGTCCCCATGTCCTTGTCAGGCTCATTCGCGATAGAGACGTCCAGTCGAGCCACGAGTCTACGCGATTCATTCCTTTCATTCTCCGTGGGCCATCGCATGGAGGAAATTGCATTTGAGTACCAGTGAGTCATCTGCCAACTGGCTCCACGATTCGCAGTCACATCTTCATCATCGGGAACTCCAGAAATGCGCAGAATCAGCTGTCAAGGTATATTCACTAATTCTCGTTGTATTCAACATCGGCCATCAAGGACCAGGTTGGTTACTGCACGTTTCGGATAACTTCGCCTTGCCACTTGGTTCAAGTTCATGTACTTCGTTCTAGTAGTGATATGTACAACAATAAATAGTTTTGCCTAGACCTTTTGAATATACTTCGAAACACCATACGTTAAATAAATACCACGACTGATCGTCGACCAAATTTCTCCTCACTGCAGACCACTCGGCAAGCATTTCCCTACACAGTACTGCTAGTTAATACATGTACACGCTCCTGGAAAACAATCGAAATCAGGCCAGTTTCCGCATCAGAGTGTGCCACGAGTTTGACGTGGTATTCTCGAACGCTAAGAATGAGGCGTGGTCCCAGCACAAACATCTGCACGACCGATAAAATTTGAACAGCACCTTGGAGTATCCAAACTCCAATAGACATCGAATTCTAACAGAAATGGTGAGCAGTGGTTGCACGTAGATATCAGCAACAGGTCAGCGCACCAAGATTTCTGGAGAGAGAGCAACAAGCTGGAGGCAAGAGACACTAACAAAGCTAACATGTGCGGAACTTAAGCGGAAAAATACAACCCCATTCACATTACAAGCTCACCTTGCAAAATAAAGAACATGAGATTGTATCAGCACTGTGAAACAGTCCCCCATAGTCGATCCTGTCGATGGGCCGAGTCCTCGCAGCTCACGGAAGTGCTTCACAGCAATCCAGACTGAAAGACACAGTATGAGGACCTCCCAAACAGTGTTGAGAATCCAAACCATTGAAAACAGAAGCTGCTCGTTGCCTGCATATTCATAACCGCACATATGTATGTCAGAGAGTATCAACTCCTCTGGTGTTTGTCCAATGAGCTGTGTTCTTTACGTCAACAAGTAAAGCTCACCCTCTACAGCATACTTGAGGTCTATCGCCGAGATCACTCCGCAGGCAATGTTAACAGCCAGAAACACAACAACAAGGAAGATGAGTATCGCTCTAGATCCCTGATACATGGCATGCAACCGAGCAATCATGATGACTTGCATCGTGTGTAAGTCAGGTCAACATCACAGAAGTATTGCACCTGGGTGACTCACCGCCCAACATGGCAGTCAAGGTCACAATTGTCCCATTTACCGCGTAGTACATGATAGCGCCTAAAACTCCCAATTAGTGAACACCCTTGCACTGGTAGCAAAGACTCCGACTTACACCTATCGGGTCATTACGTTGAGCCGAGTCCAATGGTTAGAATCTCACTCACCCCTACATATGAGCGTGTTGATTAGATGGGAATGAGACGGTTTCAGAATACTCACTGCATCTGTTAGCGGTACCGATGGCATAGTTTCTGTGTCCCGGTGGTCAGAAAAAGGTAACACAGTGCATATGAGACGTACCCAGGACATTGACACTGGTTGTCAGAGATGAGCTATCAGCACAGTGCAAAGTTGTGGGTTTCGACACATACACAGAAAATGGTATTCCAATATAGCGTATCTAGATCATTTTGGAGTCAGCACAAGGTGCCCACCACGCTAAAGCACAACAGGAGGTACAAACAATCAAATACAGCACGGTCATGAGAGACCAGCGTTGTCTCTGTCGCGAATTCATTGCATGCTCTTGTTTTCTTCTGATACGGAACTCTTGTCACTCACCCAGATGAGTTCAATCTATGGCACCATTCTTAGCGAGTTGGTTGCTCCGGCGATAACATCAACGTACCTCTCGTCCAAGTGTTAGGGCTGGAAATATTATGAGAATAGCAGTGGTTTTCGAACACAGTCCTGCTTACCCCAATCGTATACCACCACAACACCAGCAGCAACTACGAAACTGCATGTCAACGTTAGATCAGGACATCCTAAAGCTACGAACTTGTCCAATAGGTGAAAAAAATGTTGAAATTGATTGTCGGCCACGAACTGGGACCATTTGAGACATAGGTCATGTTCGAGGGATGGGTGAGCGAGTGGGAAATGTCAGTGGTGTATGACGATAGCGTCGTGCTAGATATACCACCGTTCAGCGCTTGTATCACCAAAATCAGCATGATGGAGCTCACGCCTCAAGAGCCCAGATCGGGTGAAAGGGGCCTACTTCAACACCAGGAAAGTTCCAGTCGTTGGTGATGTCGACAACTTATTTCCAACACAGTGTTTTGCGTCGGTTTGCAGCGAGCTTGCAAAAATTGAAGAGTTTCCTGTGAAATCATGTAGTCATCGATCTAACACAGGTTAAAGTGTGATATGCGTGAAACAAGTATGTACACACTCTTCGGCATCGCTGGCTGAGCCCGAGGCGTAACAGCCCTCCAATTACTCTTATGGAACAAGGGTCATTCTGCGGAACTCAGACAATAAACCGTGACAGAGTGGGTCGAATATATCTAACCTCATCTGTCGCCTGGTACGCTCGAATCATTGGGCTATAATGATCATATTAGAATGATGAACAGAGAGATGGTAAACATAAAGCGAACCCGATGCAAAGCTCACTACGTTCAATGCATCATCCACTTGATGTCGTGGTGATCTATCGTACTGCCAGATACATCCTATTCGTGATCGATATATGCTGAAAATTTCCCAAGGGAGACGATAAGCAACGCGCCAGAAGCCAGGTTTCTGACTGTACAGGCTCATCTCGATGGCATCAAGTTTCAGTAAACTTCTATCCTCTTAGAGTGAGACCCACCGTTCCCGTGTAGGTCCATCCTGCGTTGGCACAGATCAGTGCCATCCAGATGAAAGCTATGATAAAGTTACCTGTGGCAACACCAAATTACGGCGACGAGTTAAGGCTTGAGAATTGCTGTCGATGGAGAAACGGAAACAAAGGTCGAAGTTCGAAGGCTCTTTGAAGGTTGTAGGATGTGTAGGGGCTCTAGTTGTTATAAATACAAAACAGTCGCGGTGATTTGCAAACAAAAGTCCAGAGAAGATCTCAGCGTTTTGAGGCAGGATGCTGAAGATGCACACGATATTGGGTATAATGAATTAATAATACAAGGGTTTGCATTCGCACACCAAACATAATATGAAAGAGGCGTCTCCATGTTGTTCGGTGCGGCCTTGTGTAAATTTAAAGCCCGCGGCGCTGCCTTCGTCGTTTGCAAGAAATGAAGTTTGAACTGCTTACAGCTCTGCAGGCAACGGGCTGAAAGGCCGTTCCGGGACTAGTACTCACATCTTTACCACTCCCTCTTGTTGCATCGGTTATGGAAGACGAGAATTGACCTGTGCGTGAAGTTCGTCGGACAATGTCTGATAATGCCCGTTGGCATGTACCCAGATGTACCCGCGCTGACTCGGATCTGCGCATTCCAATATCAGACGGACTCTGCACCCAAAAAATTTGTCATTGTCATTGGAGAGCCGAGACGGCTTATTTAGGGCGTCTAGTTTTAGCTAGTTGTAAGTTGTTTACTTCATTCCACGACATATGCTAGGCTCACCATCGATACAACAGCGCTCATGTGTCCGCCGTCCCGGAGCATTGATAGAATTGCTCAATTGTCGATTTGCGTCTGGACCTAGGCTTTACACCGACCCCGCCTGAAAATGATGCGCCCATCTATCGATCAAACCACGTAGTATTTCAATGCTCAAGGTAAGCATTTCCATGGGCTTTCGTCAAGCATATGCTCTTACTACCTGCAACACACTTGTGTTCCTCTCGTAATCCACCTACATGAACAGCCCAGATGGATGGTGACTAACACATATCCCAATCTCGCCTTCGATACACCTCGTACGTGTCTCCATCGATAATATGCTATCAGACTCTTCATTTACCAAGTGATCATTTGCTTGCCTAGGACTGTGATCCATGTCAACGGTGTGTATGCGTGTATGCATGTCTGTCTTGTTCGGTGCTTCACTCTGGTGGTTGTGCTTAGCGAGGGCTGCAACAAAATATCGCAGTCGATCGCCACGCTTGAGGCCTGCTGACATTTTATGATTTTCCACTCTCCACTCAGCGGACCCCGTCATGCTCATTCGCAAGAAAGACGTGCAATCAAACCATCAGTGTACGCAATTCATTCCTTTCATTCTCCTTGGCCCATCGGATGGAGGAAATCGCATCTGAGCACTAATGAGTTACGTGCAGTCAAGCCATGAGTCTACGCGATTCATTCATTTCATTCCCCATGGCCCATCAGATGGAGGAAATTACATCTGAGCACTAATGGGTTATCAGCTATCTGGCTTCACGAGTCGCAGTATCTATATGTCCGGACAGTGGAACACAAACACGCAGAATCAGCAGTCAAGGTACCTTTACTGATTCTCGTTGTATTTCAACTAAGGACCGGATTGGTTACTAGACGTTCCGGGTAATTTGCCCTTACCACCTGGTTCAAGCGCGGGTACTTCATTCCAGTAGCGATACAACAAGAAATAGCTTTGCCTAAACCTTTCAAATATACCATATGTTAAATAAATACCACGACGGATCCTCCACCAAATTTCTCCTCACTGCAGACCACTCGGCAAGCATTTCTCTACACAGTACTGCTAGTTGATACATGTACACGCTCCTGGAAGACAATCGAATTCATGCTAGTTTCTGCGTCGGAATATGCCACGAGTTTGGCATTGTATTCTCGAACGCTGAGGATGAGGCGTGGTCCCAGTAAAAACATCTGCACGATCGATAAAATTTCACGAGCACCTTCGAGTGTCTCAGTTCCAATAGAATCTGGATTCTACAAAAATGATGAGCAGTGGTTGCACGCAGATATCAGCAACAGGTCAACGCACCGAGAGTTCTGCAGAGAGAATACCAAGCTGGAAGCAAGAGACACCAACAAAGCTAACATGTACGGAACTTGAGCAGAAAAATATAACCGCGTTCACATTACAAGCTCACCTTGCAAAATAAAGAACATGAGATTGTATAAGCACTCTGAAACAGTCCCCGATGGTCGATCCTGTCGATGGGCCGAGTCGTCGCTGGCCACGGAAGTGTTTCACAGCAATCCAGACTGAAAGACACAGTGCGAGGACCTCCCAAACAGTGTTGAGGATCCAAACCATTGAAAACAGAAGCCGCTCGTTCCATTCAGGTTCAAAACCGCACATATGGATGCCAGAGAGTATCAGCTCCTCTGGTGTTTGTCCAATGAGCCGCGTTCTTCAAGTCAACAAGTAAAGCTTACCCCCTACAATATCGTCGAGTCCTATTACCGCGATCACTCCGCAGGTGATGTTTACAGCCAGGAAGATAATAACAAGGAACATAAGCATCGTTCTAGATCCCTGGTACATGGCATACAACCGGGCAATCATGATGACTTGCATCGTGTGTCAGTCAGGTCAATATCAGAGGTATTGCACCTGGGTGACTCACCGCCCAACATGGCAGTCAAAGCCAAAATTGTCCCATTCAGTGCATAGTACGCGATAGTGCCTGAAACTCCTAATTAGTGAACGCCCTCGCACTAGAATCAAAGTGTCCGACTTACACCTATTGAGTCATCATGTTGAGCTAAGTTCAATGGTTGGAATCTCACTCACCCCTACATATGAGCGTATTGATTGGATGGGAATGAGATGGTCGCAGAATACTTACTGCATCTGTCAGCGATACCGATGTAATATTTTCTGTGTCCCGCGTGTCAGAAAAATGGAACAACAGTGCATATGGGACATACTCAGAACATTGACACTAGTTGTCAGAGATGAGCTATTAGCACAGTAAAAAGTTGTTGATCTTGACACATACACAGAAAATGGTATTCCAATATAGCGTATCTAGATCAATTTGGAGTCAGCGCAACTTGCCCACCACGCTAAAGCACAACATGAGTACGAACAATCAAATATAGCACAGTCATGAGAGACCATCGTTGTCTCTGCTGCGAATTAATTGCATGCTCTTTTTTTCTTTTGATACCGGACTCTTGCCACTCACCCAGATGAGTTCAATCTATGACACCATTCTTAGCGAGTTGGCTGCTCCGGCGATAACATCGACGTACCTCTTGTCCGAGTGTTAAGACTGGAAATACCATGAGAATATCAGCGATTTTCAGACACTGTCCTGCTTACCCCAATCGTATATCACCACCACGCCAGCAGCAACTGCGAAACTGCATGTCAACGTTAGATCTGGACATCCTAATACGACGAACTTGTCCAATAGCTGAAAAAAATAGTTGAACTGATATGTGGCCACGAACTGGGATCATTTGAGACGTAAGTCATGTTCGAGGGATGGGTGAGCGAGTGGGGAATGTCAGTGGTGTATAACGATAGCGTTCGTGCTAGATATACCACCGTTCAACGTTCAACGTTCAGCGCTCAGCCCTTGTATCGCCATAATCAGCGTGATGGAGATGGAAATTTGATTTCGCCTTAAGACCCTCGATCAAGTGGAAGGGTGCGAAATCAAACAAATTGAAGCCGGTAATGAAGTATGATTTCCAAATCAGTATTACGCACGGGACTACTTCAACACCAGGAAAGTTCCAGTCGTTCGTGATGTCGACAACTCATTTCCAACATGATTTTTTTTGCGTGTTTGCTGTGAGCTTGCAAAAATTGAAGAGTTCCCGTAGTCGTCGATCTAACACAGGTCAAAGTCTGATATGCGAGAAAAGAGTATTTACACACTCTTCGGCATCGCTGGCTGAGCCCGAGGCGTAACAGCCCTTTACATAATTACTCTTATGAAACCGGGGTCATTCTGCGGAACTCAGACAATAAACCGTGACAGAGTGGGTCGAATATATCTAACCTTATCCGTCGCCTGGTGCGCTCTCATCATTGGGGTACCATGATCATATCAGAATGATGAACAGAGATATGGTAAGCATGGAGCGAATCCGATGCAAAGTTCAATGCATCATGCACTTGATGTCATGGTGATGTATTGTACTGCCAGATGCATCCTGGTTCGTGATTGATATGTGTTGAAAATTTCCCAAGGGAGACAATAGACGCGCCAGAAGCCTGATTTCTGATTGTACAGGCTCATCTTGATGGCATCGTGTTTCAGTAAACTCCTATCCTGTAAGAGTGAGACCCATCGTTCCCGTGTAGCTCCATTCAGTGTTAAATATATGAAAGTGATGATATAGTTATCTGTGGCAACACCAAATTACGGCGACGAACGAAGGCTTGAGATTTGCTATCGACGAAGAAACGGAAACAAGGTTCGAAAATAACTTGTCGGAGGGTCGAGGGTCGAAGTTCGAAGGTGCTTTGACGGTTGTGGAAAATAGTCGTGGTGCTTTGCAAACAAACAATTTGTAACAAATCACGAATCACAGCTTGATCGACGCACCGAATAGACAGTTGGAGGCAAGGAAATAGAGTGGTGATAGGATAGCTGGCCAAGACACCTGGCAGGGCCAATTTCGCTGTGGTCGCAGGTGCACGGAGACTTGTTTGCTGAAGTATGTTGGTCGCCGTCTATGTTCAGTGAAGGCACCAAAAGCACTGCTGGTTATGCCCGTAGTCCAGGGAAGAACTGACCATTTTGAGGCAGGAGGCTGGCAAAGACGCAAATGATACTGGGCACAATAAATCAATAATACATGGGTTTGCATTCGCGCACCAAACATAATACGAAAGAGCCTCGCGGGTGTTCGGTGCGGCCAACGTTGAGCTTAAATTTAAAGCCCGCAGGCCCACCTTCGAAGCTTCAGCGTTTGCGGAGTCAAAAAATGAACCAAAGAATTGTGCTTACAGCTTTGCAAGCAACAGGCTGAAAGGCCGTTCCGGAACTCACATCTGTACCACTCCCTCTTGTTGCTAATCGGTTATGGAAGACGATGATTGACCTGCGTGTGCGCCGTGAAGTCCGTCGGACAATATCCGATAATGCCCATTGATTGATGCACCTGCGCTGACTCGGATCTGCGAGTTCCAATATCGGACGGACTCTGCACCCCCCAAAAATTGGTATTTGGCAGTGGCATTGGAGACGGCTTATTTAGGGCGTCTAGTTTTAAGTTGTAAGTTGTTTACTCCATTCCACTCCTCTCGACGACATATGCTAGGCTCACCATCGATACAACAGCGCTCATGCGTCCGCCGTCCTCGAGTATTGATAGAGTTGCTTAATTATTGATTTGCGTCTAGACCTAGGCTTTACACCGACCCCACCTGAGAACGATGCGCCCAACTATCGATCAAACCACGTATTTCAATGCTCAAGGTAAGCATTTCCATGGGCTTTCGTCTAGGATATGCTCTTACTACCTGGAACACACTTATTTTCCTCTCGTTATCCACCTACATGGACAGCCCAGAGGATGGCGATATCCATGAAGAACCATTGCTTTATCAGCCATCTCGACTTCCGCAAATCTTCGTTCTCATTTTCAAAAACAGAATTCCCCCCTCGTACACCATTCGCCCGAGTCTACTCACTGGTACAGATGTATGAACGAGACCGTTGCGAGACCAGCTGTCTGAACCGACATGCTAATCGGGGTGACAGTGATCAATGACGATGGTGTCAACAGTTAGGTCTGTGTCATAATCATAATCTGGTTCAATGCCTCGCGCTGATAGATGTTCTGCTTTCTCTATGGGTATCAACAGATCACAAGGACCTGTATACAAACCTAGTGCACGATTCTACGATCACTGACACTTCGTTTTGTTCGTTGTTTGTGCTCAGACAGACGATAATTAGGAATTTGTCATTCCCGGGCTATCAGCTGCCTGAGCTCAGACACGCTGCTTTCATTTCCCTAGCTCACGGAACTCTCGCATCGTATTCCACATGTCTGACCCAGATGGGTATTTGTAAAAGAGGACAGCATGGAAGTAGGATGGATGTGTTATTAGCTATCTACACTTTTACAATCACTATCGCTTCTCACATTTCTCGTTCTCAGACAGTTGGTGCATTAGTAATACTTTTTCAGGTGTTTTTTACTTCCTGCTCAGGAGTCAGCACACCTCATCTCCTTGCCATGCGGATCCGTAATAGAGATGATTACTCGAGGTGTAAGCCCCTTAATATCATGATACTCCACATTGTTGAATCGTGCTCGAAGCCTGTCGTTGTCGACGACATGACTTGTTCACACAGTGGTCAGCTTTAAGTTGGTTCAATCACATGATCGATGCTCGTCTCATCTCCAGATAATCGACACCCTACTTCCGCCTTCATGCACGATTCCGTACTTCCTCTCCGCCCAGATGGAGGATAATGAAGACGTCCAGGTATTCCAGCTGATCTGACAAATTATCAGCCATTTGTGGCTTCATAACTCGCTCAAGTTGCTTTTCTTGGGTACATCATAGAGCCAGTACGATCTGATCAAAGTATGTATGTCAGAATACCATGGTAGGCACCTTAATGATAATTCCCAGGTGCGCTCGATGCCTTTCGACTTGAACTCCAAATTTCTTTCCTACTCAACACTTGTTATCTCCTTACAACGCACAATCATTCAGGACAGCATATACTCACCCCGTAAGTCTCTTTTTAAACTATCATGTTAAACATGGTTCAATCATGCTTGAACAGATGTCAATCAGCCATATAGTGCGTAGCTCCACTCTTCACGCACCATTCGTTACAACTTCTTTGCCTCCCAGTGGATGATATTGGGTCGGCATTCGTCTGGCCCTGGGCGTTCAGCTGTCCGAACTCAGACACATCACCTCTACTCTAGCTCTAGCGTTATTGGTGTATGTTTCATGGTCCAATTTTATTGATGTTTGTCTGTAAGTCAACGACCGAAGAGGTCCGTTCCAATATTCGCGATCCTACATTCATTGAGTCGAAAGGGCTCGACTCATGGGTAGACCTTGTGGAGAAGAGCTATCAGCGAGACCATCATTGCTTCCTATACACGCCTTGTACCAAATATGTATGTTCAGTCAATTCGATCGATCTAAATAAAAAACGGAATAACAAAATCAGTGATCTAATTCCCAATATCGGTTTTCGTTCTTGTTGTCGTCCTAATGTGCGTCTTCCAGGATTTGTGTCATTTAATGCCTTATCTAGCTCGGTGTCTATTCATCTAGGGCATCCTTTTTTCATCCATGGTGCTTCTATTTTCGAATTCAGTGCGGGGCTTTATCGCGGGTTGTTCATGATCGAACACGTATCATAATCCCGCCATCCTCGCGTCTCCATCGCAGTCGATGCCTCATCAGTAGTTTGATAGGTACGCTTGACGTCCTCTGACCTGAACCTCCGATTTTCTTATTCTCCACTCATCACTCAGCAGACCCCATATGCTTGTCATGCTCATTCGCGAGAGAGACGTACAGTCAAGCCATGAGTCTACGCGATTCATTCATTTCATTCTCCATGGCCCATCGCATGGAGGAAATCGCATCTGAGCACCGATCAGTTATCAGCTATCTGACTTCATGATTCGCAGCATCTATATGTTCAGACAGTAGACACCAACGCGCAGAATCAGAATCAGCTGTCACGGCACATTCACTGATTCCCGTTGTATTTTAACATCGGCCATCAAGGTTACTTGCTAGTCGTTTCGAATAATTTCAGCTTACCACTTGGTTCAAGCGCGGGTACTTCGTTCCAGTAGTGATACAACAAGAAATAGGTTTGCCTGGACTTTTTAAATATACTTTGAAACACCATAGGTTAAATAAATACCACGACGGATCCTCCACCAAATTTCTCCTCCCTGCAGACCACTCGGCAAGCATTTCCCTATACAGTACTGCTAGTTGATACATGTACACGCTCATGGAAGACAATCGAATGCATGCTAGTTTCTGCGTCGGAGTATGCCACGAGTTTGGCATTGTATTCTCGAATGCTGAGGATGAGGCGTGGTCCCAGCACAAACATCTGCACGACCAATAAAATTTGAACAGCACCATGGAGTATCTGAGCTCCAATAGAATTAGAATTCTATAGAACTGATGAGCAGTTGGTACACGCAGATATTAGCAACAGGTCAGCGCACCAAGAGCTCTGGAGAGAGAGCAGCAAGCTGGAGGCAAGAGACACCAACAAAGCTAACATGTGCGGAACTTGAGCAGAAAAATATAACCGCATTGACATCACAAGCTCACCTTGCAAAATAAAGAACGTGAGATTGTATCAGCACTCTGAAACAGTCCCCGATGGTCGATCCTGTCGATGGGCTGAGTCGTCGCTGGTCACGGAAGTGTTTCACAGCAATCCAAACTGAAAGACACAGTGCGAGGACCTCCCAAACAATGTTGAGGATCCAAACCGTTGAATACGAAATCTGGTGGTTCGCTCCATCTACATAATAGCATATATACGTGCCAGAGAGTATGAACTCCCCTGGTGTTTGCCCAATGAGCCGTGGTCTTCAAGTCAACAAGTAAAGCTTACCCCATACAGAATGCTCGAGGTCTATTGCCAAGATCACTCCCCAGGTGATGATTACAGCCAGGAAGATAATAACAAGGAAGATAAGCATCTTTCTAGATCCATGATACATGGCATGCAACCGAGCAATCATGATGACTTGCATCGTGTGTCAGTCAGGTCAATATCACAGAGGTATTGCACCTGGGTGACTCACCGCCCAACATGGCAGTTACAACTAGATTCGTCACACTCTCTGTGTAGTACGTGATAGTGCCTAAAACTCCCAATTAGTGAATGCCCTCGCACTAGCATCAAAGACTCCGACTTACACCTATCGAGTCATTATGTTGAGCCAAGTTCAATGCTTGGAATCTCACTCACCCCTGCATATGAGCGTATTGATTGGAATCATTGGATAGGCATGAGATGGTCGCAGAGAACTTACTGCATCTGTCAGCGATACTGATGGCATAATTGCTGTGTCTCGCCGGTCAGAAAATGAAATATAGCGCATATGAGACATACGCAGAAGATTGGTACTAGTTGTCAGAGATGAGCGATTAGCACAGTCCAAAGTTATTGATCTCGATACATACACAGAAAACGGTATTCCAATATAGCGTATCTAGAACAGTTTGGAGTCAGCACAAGTTGCCCACCATGCTAAAGCACAATATGAGGTACGAACAGTCAAATACAGCACCGTCATGAAAGACCAGCGTTGTCTCTGTCGCGAATTCATTGCATGCTCTTGGTTTCTTCAGATATGGGACTCTTGTCACTCACCCAGATGAGTTCAATCTATGACACCATTCTTAGCGAGTTGGCTGCTCCGGCGATAACATCGACGTACCTCTTGTCCGAGTGTCAAGACTGGAAATATCATGAGAATATCAGCGATTTTCGAACATTGTCCTGCTCACCCCAATCGTATACCACCACGACGCCTGTGGCAACTGCGAAACTGCATGTCAAGATTAGATCTAGACATCTTGATGCGACAAACCTCCCCAATAGCTGACAAAAATATTTGAACTAATATACGGCCACCAACTTGGATCATTTGAGACGTTGGTCATGTTCGAGGGATGGGTGTAGGCAAGTGCTGTGGGGAAGGTTAGTGGTGTATAACGACAGCGTTCGTGTAAGATATACCACCGGTGCAGTTTGAGCTCATCACAGCACTGACAGGACGTACAGCCTCACAGTAAAATACTATTATAGTACTAGTCATGAGCGCTACTAGGCCTAAGTATTACTTCAACTCGTAATCCTAAAAGTACTTACATCCTAAGATTAGCACAGGTACTGTCGCGGCTTACAGCATCTTACAGGAATGCTAACAGGATCGGCGATCTGATTTCCAATAGACCTTCTGGATCAACACAGTTCGTGTTGTCGTCCCTTGTACAAAAGTGCGTTTCCCAGGATTCGTATCATCATTTCTGACAGTCGATGCTTTACCTAACCTGACATCTACTCTAGGCACATCACTGAATAGAAGGTAGCTCGCTATGACCTGATGTCGATTACATAACATCGTCTATCAAGGCGTGGGTGTACATAGCTCGACACCGCATTGTAAAGCTGAGGGCGCTTCCGGCAAATTATGTTTTACATTGTAGAACGCAAACTCTTAGACTGCACTTCTCTCATTCTATATCTATGACTTACAAGGGGCAAGTCATTTTGTCACAATTGAACCACGCACTAGCTGACAACATAAACATTAAGTAATATGACCAGAGCATTGGCTAGTCTCAGCAACGGCTGAAAAATATTTGGTGAGGATTACATATTTTCATCTATTGAGACATGTATTTGGATAGCTTGACATCACACGAGTAAAATTTTATCGACATTCTAGAATATGAACATTGAGACCGCACACTCTCATTTCACTATCAAGGGGAGATCACCATGTCGCAGGTGGACCATGCTTTTGCGAAAGGTACCAATCAGAATGCAGCATTAATCGAGCAAATATTTCTGACAAATGTTTGTAAAATCAGTACGGCTGCTAGGTGGCTTGCAAAAGAAGACTGTGTCCGTTTCCTCCGTACGTTGGATAACGATGGTGTTTCCTTCGAAACCAACATCTGTCTTATTTGTCGGCAAATTGAAAGAGTGATAGTTTGCGGAGAGTGCGAGTGAAGTGCGCAGAATGAGCTTGGATTGATCCTGGAGTGCAGGGTTATCCCGAAAGTTCGTTGCGCAGTTGCAGACTACGCGATCGAGTCTGACTAAGTGGATGCACAGTGTATAGATCAGAAATTACCATCGTCGTCGATATCATAGTCACTGAGACTTGTATCTTCCATACAATTGTCCTCGCTCTCCTCTTCGCTCTCCTCGCTCATGTCCTCACTCTCCTCCTCGCTCTCCTCGCTCTCCTCGTTCTCGTCCTGCTCATTCTCGTTCTCCTCGCTCTCCTCGTTCTCCTCGTTCTCCTCCTCCTCACTCTCGTTATCGTCCGCTAGTTCATCTTCCTCACGAGATTCGTCATCACTTGGGCTATCCACTTGCCAAGGACCATGTCCGACACCAGCACCAGTAAACCGAATGAACATATCACGATCCACAAAACTGCATGTTGAATGAGAATGAATTAAAAAATTGAGACGACGACTCACATGTTGATATAGTATGCAGTCCATGTGTCGTCCTCCATCCATGTGCATTGAGTTGATTTTTGCCGTTGTGCAGACTGGCGTACGCATCCATCTGCAAAAGCCGGGATCAAGTGTACCCCGCGAACCACTAATGCAGGATCGATGAAACCGAAAGCAGAGTCGTCTGTCTCGGGTACAAAAGCCACTTTTGGAAGACGAGCTGCCTTGATCCCTGACCGGTACCGCCGCACTGGATCGAACCATCTGACAAACAATATCTCCATCTGAGTTTTCTGTGGGCTTGCTCCGCTCGATCGTAAATCAAGTACGTTAACATGGAATATGCGCAGTACTCGAGCATACCAATACGGATGATTGGAGCGGGATTCAGAATCACCTGACAATACCATGATATCAGCGTGATTTCGAGGGTTAATCAAATCTTGCTGGGATTGTAGATCGTATGAAGTGTAGTTGACGCGTAGTGTATTGACAGAGAACAGAACGTTGTCACATATGACAACCTCATTTCGGTCATCGCCTGAGAATTAAATGAGGCCATCTTGCGCGTGCAAGCAACGTAATATATGGTCCTTGAGTTTTGGAATGAATTTCTTGTGAAAGTGGCTGAGTAGCTAATGCACGGAGACTCATGAGAACACACCTCAAATGCTGGATCGTTTTTGTTGTCCTGCAGTAGTTTGTGTATGTGTACAGGAGAATTGCGATGGTG